CAGGCTCACCACGTCTAGTTGGCCAACGCCTATACCGGCCAACCCTAGGGAATTTTTGGGATTTCCCCTCCCTCACAATGCCCCCGTCCAACACCCTGCGATGGAAGCATCATATGTGTGATATTACACATGCTCTCTCATTTAAACACGCTACTAACTTTATGGGTTTGCTTTCTTGTTATTGGGTATTGACAAAAAAAATTACTCAGACGATTTTTCACCCAGGGACTTTTCGGCTTCCTTTTGAAATTGGATAAACATTGAGAGTCACTGGTGCTAAGTATCTTGTGTTTGTAGTCGAGTGTGCGTAATCAGATTGAAGTACTATTTTTGTAGAATGCTTCAACGCGTCGCACTTTTTTTTTCTTTGCTGTTTTCGAGAAGTTGCGATTGACCATTTGTATCTTGGCTTGGAATATTTATTTGACGTCTGTAAACTGACTGTTGCTTTGCATTCATTGTTCGAGACACTTGAAATTATTTCCAAGAGACTTTTCCAATTTTTCTGGATCACTCCACTTGGTAATATTTTATCCACTTCCGAAAAGGAAGTCATGCCTGGCACTCCTGCTGGGAAGAATTTCCTGAGATTGCTTGTTCAATCGATTTTCGTTTAACAAAAAAAAAAATAGAACAACAAATCAGAAAACTAAAGTAAAAAAAGAAGAAACTATAATAGCTGAAAGTTTCATCGATATTTGAGCTGACGAAATGGAATGTTTGTTGGGGAATTTTCTTTGAAGAAATAAACGGAAACAATGGAAAAATCCCCGACAAAGGATATGACGTAGACTTAGTATATATCTTTCTCGAAATTTCTAGAGAAGCAGTAAAATCTAGGAGGAACAGTTCCTCTAGCGTCCTGGAAAAAACCACCTAGCCAATTTCATTTCTAGGGAATTTTTAGAACGGGGTCGAAGCTCGTTCGGATTAACTGCTTTGGAAACCGGCTTAATCGTAATTCCGAGCGACAGCCAGCCTAGGCAATATACTGTTTCTGGACCCGATAGACTGGAGTCTGCGATGCTTCTGCTTGCACTCCCTTATTTTTAAAAAGCATTTTTCCCAGAAGACAATATAGAGAAAAAAAATAAAAAAATGCGCCTACTCACTCGCCGCGACAGCTTCCTGTCACTTTTCTCATGCCTCCATTATTAATCGCGATATTGATATCCTACTGCAACGAAGTTACGTGCGAAATTACATACAATAACGCTGCTCGCTAGACCTACATTGTAGCTGTATATCTTTCTAATTAATTCCAGTAATTATGGGAATTCTACCGATAGCCTTTGTCCGACTTACATTGTTCTATCCCTTCTGAAAGACAGAGGATTGCGTTATTCCAGTGATTCTACTTTTTTGTTTTCTCTTTTGCAATCCGCCATAAAAAGTTGCACGCGTGCAGAATCGACGTGGCAAAATATCCAGGCGCCGTGTTGAAAGTTCAGACGCAATCACGCTGTTGGGTTAGTTCCAAAAAAATATTCCCTAGTACGACGTATCCCGGAGTTTCATAGCTTCTTAAAGCTACCCAAACGTGTCTTCTGTATTTACTTTAGTTATTTCGCCAACGTACGTTGGCAGCCCTGATTTCGCTCGCGTTTTTCCGGGGGTTTATTTGACAAATCGAATAAATGTGCAATCAGAACGACGAAACAGGCAACGTAGTTTCCCTTATAAATTTGCAAACTGAATTTTCAAAATTTCCTACATCCGCCACATCCGAGTCCAATTTTTCTCTGATTTATCAATTTTTCGAAATAGCAATGTCGCGCGATATCATTTTGTCAATTAAACATTAAAATATTCATTTAACACAATTTTCCCTCCCACTCTTAATTTCTCTCTGTCGCTCATTTAAAACCCTTTATCGCGATTCTACGAAATATTAAAACAAAGTGCCTCTCGCGTGTCGCAAGCTTAATCATCGACTCGAGTCCAGGACTGCTGGACATGTTGTTTGGCCTTATCGATTGGACAGAGATTAGCCAAGGTTTAAGGGCACTTGTGGTCTTGGCGTTGATTTTCCTTATGATTGATTGCCAGTCGTAATTCTCAAATTAGTTTATTAACAACCGTAACGACTTAATTAACCATTAAGGCTATCATTAATCCATAGTTAACGTTCATTAAGATGTAAACCCTTTACAACACGAGGAAGGTTTACGCGCATTCGTTTCAGATTTCAAACGCTTTGCCACTTCGAATATCGGTAAAGCGTAGGAATTCTAAAACAAATATCACGCTTTAATATCAAGCTGCACGTTTCTCTGAAATTCTCCTCTTCGTCTTCTTCCTCCTCACTGTCCACCCAGATATACAACGAATTCATCAAATGACCATTTTATTCATTCACTCCTCGATATTTACACAATATCAATATTAAATCGTCTCGATACAATTTCGAGGTCGCTTACCACGTTGCCGTTACCCCAACAACTTAAACGTATACAAACTTCCCTTTTCGGCTGTCCAATAAAACCGTCAATCAATTACGTAGCTTATCATATCCCGTAAAACCAGTAAAAGACAACTAAAACACCTTGTCACTCGTATTAGGTTCCTTTGAAAGCTTCCGAAAAGGAAGAAAAATTCGAAGGGAATAAATAAAAACAAGAGCATGATGGACATCCCATTAGTTACTCCTTTATGTACATCAACGTTACCATCAAATGCTAATTTCCGATTATACGGAAGATCCTAAGGTGATCCGTCTGAAAAGCCGTTGAACGTCCTCACGGATAACACCCACACACGGCCATCAAAAATTCTCGTCATTATAGACGATACGAACGTTATCGGTATATCAATACGTATATCGAATATTACGTAACAATCGTAGCGCCATAAAAGACACAGCTGCTCGAAAACACATAAATACCTTGCAACGTTAAACTTTTACGATTAGGCATTATCACCCTAGTGAATATCTTTGATACGATCCCGTAATCGTGCGAATTGCGTAGGTCCACTGTATCCGCAGTGGTTTCACAGTAAATGCTTCTGCATTCGTACTTATCGAGGCAACGTGGGTCGGCTTGGTTTCAATCTCTTATTCCGCCGGGACCAGCAATGGTTACAGGTAACGTCTACAGATACGTCTACGGTAACGGCTATCCTAGCATTTAGAATATTAATATTAAAGAAGAGTCCCGTGGTGCATCTGTGCACACGTGGGTGCATCGCTGGGACCTATATATATATATATAATGCATAGGGGCTGGAATACGCGATATCCATTCGCGATGTACACGCTACGTTATATGTATACATACGTAAACTATGTACCTTCACTCTTATATAGCTATCTGGGTCAGAGGCTTTCGATCTTTTATTCATTTTCATCCCCAAGAAATTAACGTCACGTACTACGGGACGCGCAACAAACACTGATGGATATCCTTGACCGATAGGAGAAACATCTTCCTTCTCTTTCCTTCTCGCATTTCCTTCGCCCTGTTTCCGGTTCTTTCGATCGAGACAGCTTCGCGTGTCCTGCGATCGTACGCGGCCATTTTCTCCTGTTCATCACTTTTTTCCTCGGTTTTATTATTTTATCAGTGTAATTCTCTTTGTATCTTCCGTCACTTTGTTTTCCAGCTACGTACATTTATCATCCCTTCTATCGTTTCTCTGCCCCTTTTATTTTACTTCGTGCTTATCTACCTGCCGCCATCGTTCCTCTCTTCACTGAGCGCTCTTATTATCATATTTTACGACCTCCCGGCTTATCGAATCTTCCCTTTCGAACTCCCATTGATCCGCTTAATCGCGATTTTCACGTTAGCACAGGCCTGTTTGGAAAATAATTGCAGGAAGATTGACTGTTATCGGGCTGATTGGGCCTTATCGGCCTTATCAGTATGTCGAGGGCAGAACTGTTAATCAGTCTGTTTACCCTGTTTGCCGCTTTTTCTCCTCCTACTATCCCGTGGCGCTGATTTTGAATTGTAACTCGTTTCCGTGTGCCAGTCGATTATGTAGATTAGTCGCGTCTGCACAGATGCGATGATTTAGCGGACGATCGTAGATAAGCACGAATGTACTTTAGCAGTTTGCATGTGGATTAATATGCTCGGTAAAGATAACTCCAGGATTCCCATAATCTCCGTACGTATTGCTGTGTTAATTTTCATAATTATTTATACTATACAATACTACATATTGCCATTACTTTTAATGTCGCGAATCCACTCTACCAGGATTAATGTAATTGGCGCACGGAACATTGCAAGGCCGGGGCGGAATTTTTGCAAATAAATAATGAGAACAAATTGTTCTGACGTACAACAAAGAAATTCGTTTTAAGTATGTTGGTTCAATTAACAAATGCAATTAGTAACAGCGCACTGCCTGTATTTCTATAATTGTTTCAATATGCACAAAAAACATATGTGAGAAGATCTTTGTTAAGTTGGTCATCTGCGTGCGTTTCACGGTGCACGGTCTAATTTCAGCCTGACTAATTATTTATGTGAATTTGTCCTTTTAACGAAATGTATATATATATATACATGTATATATTTATGCATATAGCCAACCAGGCAATGAATTAGTACTGGCACTCTGCCATTTCAATCTCGCGAGTCCAATCGATTTTTCCAAACTCGACCTTAATTTCGTGTCAAACTGTTTTAAAGAACATCCCCTTCTTTACGGTATCAGCCCCCCGCCCCCCTCCACCTTCCCCCCCCTAAATCCCTCTCATCATCATAATTATCAACACCCCCTGTCATTATCCTTATAATTACCGTGATCATTAATATCGCGGCTGTTAACTATGAAATTATAATTAATTGCGCGCCTCACGATACGTGCTAAATGATCGTTTTATAAGATGAAAGACCGAACTTATCGAAAAATTGATGGGTCACGTGGGAAATTTGATTTTAACGTGTAAAAAAATAGGCCGGTTTGAGAAAAAAAAATGTAAAGAGAAAACTTATCGTTAACGAAAGGCACGTTTGTAGGCCTTTTTTTTCGTGGAAATAACAAGAAAACTTAATAAGTTAAATTAATCTGAACTTAATACGTAAATTGAAGTCAGCCGTGATGCTTGATAGATAATTAATGAGACGCCAATAAATAAACATAAACATAAACTTAATGAATTTCATTAATCATTCCGCAGCTCGGAATCTGTACCCGTGGGCGAATATTGATTGATCAATTGTCATTATTGCAATAAAAAGGATCGGTTTAATTAGTCTTGTCAAATATGGAGTATTGATGACAAGTTCGAAATATTAATGACCAACACCGATAGCCTCAATTTCCGTGTGACTTATCATGTCGCGCGATGACACCTTCAATGAATTGATATTGGGTATGTCCAAAATGAAATATCGAAACAAGTATAAATTTATATTATAAGTCTATATTTATTGATAAATCTATTAGCGGAATTGGATCAAGGTTTGATCTGAAATTGAATGAAACGAAGTGAAGGGTTTTGATGAAATTTGGAAAAATGTTACCGAGGACTCGGATGGAAGACATATTGGCTATTTTCTGTTACGACAATCTACATAGGTAGGCAGGTGTGTATTAAATTGGATTAAACGCAAAAAGATATTTGTTTCGCAATAAATAATTAGCACTGAAAGAAAGTCAATGCTGTTCGTCAAATTTTTTCATAACGAAAAACAACAACGCGATGACTTATTTGAGAGATGAGAATCCAAGGTATAAAGGAGCCAGGAGTAAGATGGTTGCCGACTTAGAATTGAGTTTAGATAAAATCAATTGGCACGGGAAGGTGAATCTTCTGGTCGGGAATTCGTTTTTGGCAATATCGAATAAAAGAGCAAAATGACGGCAAGAAATAAGTTACGCCTCAGGTAGATCGATCCAGGTGATTCGGAGTTGGGAGAGTGGAGGATTTTCTTTTTTCGTATAGGAGGAAATATGGAGACTGAAAAATGTGTATGAAATTTATGAGAACATCAGGGACAAGCAATGTGGATGTCGAGTGAGAAACGCATTAGATAGGATACAATGGGATAAAAAAAGTATTAACAAAATTTCAAAGAGATATGAAGTGAGTGCATCCATCTTTTTAAAATCCCATTAAGGAACCTCTTGGAGCAAATGAATGAACTCGAGAAGGAAATCAATTACTTCCAGTAGCGAATTGCTTCTCTCCAGAGGTGAGCGTGAAGATTTATAACGGGAAGTGAAGCGGAGCGAGATGTGGGGATGGTAGAGGAGAAAGAAGCGAGATACCGTTAGGAACCGCAAATTGTGAACAGCCCGTGAAAATGTTACTTGCAAAGTTCGGATGGGCTTAATGAGAATGATAAAACTTTAGGCAGACTTGCGGGACGAGCGATCGAACGAATTAACGAATGAATAATATGGAGGAGGTATATCTGTCCTAGTACGGGTCCTTCGGATCTAGGCTAATCAAGGCCAATAGTTACCTCGCTTGGCGGTGCTGTCTGCGCTGCTAATAAATCCAGGTACAGCAATCACGAGAACAAAGAGTCCACAGTGTACCCAAAACATGTTTACGTCTTAACAACATTGTTCAATTCCATTTTACATGACGCTCGTGAAACACTATGATGGCGGAGCTTTTCATGTTAGGTAGGCCCATCGGGGTGTACTACCTAGCCACCATAGAAAATAGATTCCCGGCTAGACGTTGCCGTCCTCTGCCTTTTCTTCGTTCTCTTGAGCGAATTCCTCCTGCTCGATGCTCTTTCTCTTTGTCTTTTTCTCGGGTAGCTCTCTACCGTCAGCTCCTCTTTTGCTCCTTTCCTTCTGTCTCTCTGGGTCCTCCTCTCTATTTCGAGCACACTTCTGCCTCTGTCTCTCTATCTCTTTCCGTCTTTCACGAAATCTTCTCAAAGCACCGAGACTCGTTAGTGACGTAAGCTTTTCTAAAAATTCGTAATTTATTAATTGAACACTGTCCGATTCACCAATTTTTCACCAAGAGCCAACCGAGAGTCTCTCACCGAACGGAGGTCCCCGTCTCTCTGCTCTCTTTCTCTCGTCGGGAAAGCGCGTTCGATTCACGCCTCGGCTGCCATCTTCTTCCTACGGTGGAAGTCTCGGCTATGAAAATATTTGCGACCCCTCAACCCGCACAGTCAAGCCCTCTTGCCCGACTACCCTCCCGGTGCCTCCTGGACATCTACCCACTACGCCACCTCTTATCGATTCCTGCGCCATTTCGCGTCATTCCTGGCAAATCAATAACGCCTAACCCTCGACCACCCTGGTTTCCCAGATCACTCTAGTTGGGAGACTCGACACTGCGTTTTGACCTTTTTCAAAAAACTCCGGCACCGTCTTAAGGAACTCTTAGTATTCGATTTTCTCGGAAAGACTCGTATTCTTTTTTAATTGAAGATCCATCTTGTCTTATCTTTTTTGGGATTACTCGCATTCTTTTTTAAATTGAAGATTCATCTTGTCTTGTCTTTTTTTTGGGATTACTTTTGTATACCCAAGAAATTTTTAATCAAGAAACTCATGCTTGTATAAAGCTAAATTTGATTTACCAGAAATCCTGTAATTTCGAAAATTAATAAAATTTGAAAAATTTTACTTAGAGCAGATTTCTTGGGACAAATTTCGTCATTTTCCCCGAGTATTGAATTACTTTATTCCCACGGGACGTATCGCAAGTTTGTCCAATTATTGTTGGCGCTGCAGTCTTCGGCGTTGTCGACAATTAACGACGACAATAACAATGGCTGACGTTAAATTCGCTGAAGTTGGCAACTTTGGATAACACGAGCCGCGTCCCAGTCGTAGTGACTTTCGGCGTTCAGATTTGAAATATAACCAAGAGAATGTGACGTGGGTGAGCGGACAACGGATGTTTGGCAAGAGGAGAGCGTTGACGAGGATGGTAATAAATAGAACTAGAGAGAGAAGAGAACAATACGCACAAGAGATCTGAATGTCAGGATTGAACTTTTATAATATATTCATATTGTTTGTTTTAGATAGGGCAGTGTTGTGGACGGTTACGGAGACGCTCCGTATCCCAATGTTTCCTACAAGTATACAGACTATTTTAATAAGTACATTCCTTTTTCAACAACCGTCGTAAGAGCTAATTATATATATATATATATAATATATATATAGGTATGTCATTACGATTTATTACGATGCATGTGTGTTTTTTATTATGAAAACATTTGAAAAAAACGACCCCGAGATCCCCATCCCCCTGCCCATCCCACCCGAATCGAATTCCCACCCCGAGCCCAACCCCATCATGTCGTACCATCCCCGTTTGTTATCTCTCGCGTTTACCTGCTGGTACATACTATGTTAATAACCATGTAATAGGTGTATAATCTATCTATCTATCTAGTAAAACAGCGTCATATTAAAGTCTATCCTCCTCTTCCTCCTCGTTATCCTCATTATTCTCCTCGGACTCCTCCTTGTATCCGGGATGCTCGCTGATGGCGTAGTAGTTCCCGTTGTAAATGACTCCGAGTTCGCGCAGCACGTCTCCCCTGATGATGGCCTTGATCGTCCAGTTGTAGCACTCCTCGCTCTCGCTCTCGCGATCGAGACGCTCGACGTCGAGGATCTTCGAGCTGAGACGCTCGAGGATGATGCCGATGTCCTTGATGCTGAGGTGATGCTTCTGGTCGACGGTGAGCTGGTCGATCAGCAGCAGGAACTTCTCCGAGGTGACGATCTCGTCCTCCATTATCGTGTTCTCGGTCTCGGACTCGGAGCTATCGTGCTCCTGATGATGATGGTTGTGCTGATGATGATGATGCAAATGAAAAGCTGCGGGATTCGGCAAGCGACCTCCAGCGGCGCCGGCGCCGCCAGTAGGATCCTCGTCGGCAGTATCCCGGAAACGGACATGACCCTTGACCATGCCAGGTCGACGGCTGCCATCCGACAGGGAACTCGGTGGCTGAGGCGAAGGTGTCTGAGTCTGCTGTGCATGTGCAACGCTCTGCTGCGCGTGTACCTGTGCCGCCTGGGCGTCCTGAATCGGCGAAGTAGCGACCGACTTGTGTACAGCTATTCGGCGTCCCTCTTCGTGCAAGGCGCAGCAGTGAAAGTCGCACTCGCTGGCTGCGCCGCCCTCGCCCCCGTTCACGGGACTCCCGTTGCGCTGCGCCACTACCGGCTGGTGGATGTGATTCGAACACTCCGGCGTGTGGATATGAATGGTCGTGCTTTCGAAGGAGTTCGTTCCCTGCTTCACCAGCCTCCCGCCAAGCACGCCGTGCTGCTGCGACGACCCGTAGGAACTATTACTCGGACTAGTAAAACTCTTCTGTACCATATCGTCATGATTTATCACAGTGATTTGAGGACTGCTGTAACGCGGTCCTGGCTCGTGGGAACCTGGTACCTTTGGAGTCCCGTAGCCCAGCTTGTCCAGGCTCGTCTGTATTACCAGCGATGGACGCTGGGACGATCCTCCCATGTGGTCCACCTTCTTCGTCGGCGAGTACTTCGAGCTCGGGCCACCTTCCTGCGGTTTTGACTGCTGCGAGGATTGCTGTACCTGCTGAACCTGCTGCTGAACCTGCTGCGACGAACCCGACGTACCGCTTCGCTGGTCCCAGTGGAGCACCACTGTGACTCGGCCTTTATTGTCCATGATCTTCCAGGATGGCGTCTCATCGTGCAACTCCAGCGCGTGGATCGTCTCGCAGACTATTTTCGGGATTGCTGATATCGCTGGTACAAACGAACACTACGTTAACGTCAGATGGAATCCTCAGATACCCATTTCTCTCCCTCTTGGGACTATCAGTACATACGCACACGTATCACTATCCTCCTCCAACATATCATTTTATCAAATCTATTAGTATCCTTATTCTGCATTAATAATATCAATATAAAAATCAAAATGTGCATGCATCGTCTCCCAGTATCTTTCAACGATGCGACGCATTCGTGATGAACAACAGTGTACCTGTTGGTAGGCAATCGTCTTTATGTTTGGATGCATATAGAAAAATTAACAACAACCACGCTAAATCGTTTCCTAATACCAATACTGAATCTTCATTCCGTTAGATCGATTGTCTGCCGACACATACCAATTGTCCCAAAATTCATCATATATATATATATATATATATATATCTTTGTACGGATACATAGGAGTCCTCTACGCGTTCAGTCATAGAGAATGATTATTTGTAAATCAGTAGCTCAGTGGAAATGAAGAGTACCGGCCCGAATGATGTCGACGCCGGTTGGACACCACCGCTCGCCATGTCGCAGGAGTAACAGGATCGTATTGTTGGCCAAAGTCTTGAAGTACTCGCCGTCTTCGACCTGAGTGCCGTCGGACTCGAGTACTAAGCAGACATTTTCATTCTGAGGCACTCCGAGTTTTTCTTTACCTGCAACCCAATACTATACTTAACCATGCGGCGACTTATCATACGTGCCTATTTCTACAACGGCTAGAATAACATTACGAATGATTCAGAATTTCTTTTTCAGCAATTTTACTTACCACGATGCAGCAACTCCTCGAAATTGCTAACGACCAGTCCCTTTCTTACGTTTCGCCAGCTGTCCCATATCTTAAATGGTCTCTTGCTCCGTAACTCCTGCGTTCAAGTGGACAGAAAAAAAGAGGCCGAGAGAAATACTGAACAATTCGAATCACAGGACGAGTGATAATGAAATGTGGGACACGGGAGTTCTACGGGGATGCTGTACGTGTACGATACCCACACACAATGGTGACGCGGTGTGGCTTGAAACGTGACGAGCTCGTGGAGCAGGATAGCGTTAGAAATACAGACAGAGAAATAAATATCTCAGAGTCTTCATAAGAATAAAGAAATACATATAAAAAGTAAAGCAGGCTTTCGGGTATATCGAGAGATTGAAATGTTTCTAAGGAACAATTGGGGCCGCAGGATTGCACATTATTTAAAATTATAACATATTCGTGTATAAGTCAATAAAATATACTAATGCAAATGGATACAAAATTATTGAATACGACTGTACGAATAATTACATAATCCTCTTATAAAAATTAAAATAAAAAATTTTTAGAAATCCTTCACAAGATAAAATGCGTTTGTGTATGTGCACGTAATAAAACTTTATATTGATAAAAAATGGATTACCTGTTCGTTTTTATTCATTTAAAGTTCCTTTATGTATGCATCCTTATGTGGACTAAATGGGACTAATATGACTAAATACTCTGGTCCGTTAAACACCGACGCATTATTGATATTGTATTTTTCGAGATTCCCTTAATTTAACGAAAATTTACATATAGCCCGGGTCCTCTCCTTCCTTTATTTCAACTTTTTGGAAGCAAATGAAAATTGACGTTAACTTTTTTTTCGAATTTTTTTAATCATTCCTACCGAATGAAAATATATCGCGCGACTGTCACAACGTGAAAGAACAAAAAAGCCGTAATGTACAATTGGATAATTATTTGGAATTATCAACACTAGTGATATATGTTACACGAGACATATTGCATACTAGTGAAATAATCGAACGAATAAAATAATGCATAAAATATCAATGTGATAAATATATTTATTTAGACACCACCCAAGTCGCCGCTGCGGTGTCGCATGTTGCTGCAGCAGCGAATTAAGTACAAAATAAAAATAGCGTTGCTATAATAAGAAAATTATATGAGGATACATAATACGTATGCGGATAGTGTATAGTAGATACAGGCATAAGGAAATTATGAGTAGAAACTAAATACAATATATAATACAGATTACGTATATCGCATTACAATCAAGTGATATATCGGGTACAATTTTATATCATAAAATATAATGGAATGTATTCTTCATAAGTAATTTGATACTCGCAAGATGTAAGATATAGATACATATTGTATTTGTTTTAATTTGTATGTGTATATATAATACAAATACTGCAGAAGAACACGTAAAAAATAATATATCTATAATCGATATTAATAAATATATAATGCAAATTAAATATAGCAAAGAAAGGGGGATCAAGAGAGAGGGTAGAATGTATAAGAATAACTATTGAAAAATATTTGTATAATAATGATAATAATATTAAATAAAAATTAAATAGGCCATACGCAATACGCACCACTATTATCTTCTATCGCGACTAATCAGTATCGCGGTATTATCAGCGGTCTATGATATAACAATACATTATCATTTAATTCGTGCGGCATCACGTAATACCGCATTGAATAGGGGAAAAATCATGCGGACGAGTAAAACGGTGTTTGCCCCGGTATCCTCGCTTCAACAGGGTGGCGCTAAGCCTTCTAATGCGCAGACTCAGGCGCAACTTATGGTCGAAAACACTGACCTCATTCAATCATCCTCGAGATACGAAAATCGAAAGAAACCCGCACCGCCTTTGAAATCCAAGGCCGTTAATGTTTCGAAAATTCCTTAGATATATATATATATATATATATCTAATATATCTAATATATATATATATATATATATATCAGGGCCGTTTAAGGAAGAAATAAAAACGTAAAAAGAGGTTTAAGTAGAATTGAGGATAAGGAAAAAAAGAGGGTGTCACCGACCCCATGAAGGGAAAAAAAAAGAGATGAAAGGATGCTGTCTCAGAAATGCTATCATTATTCGAAACACTCTTGATTGTAATGCTCTGAGATAATTTTTGGAACTTTTATAATTTCTTTGTTTTTTGCCAAAATTAAATTATGAAAGTAAAGCAATCGTAACAGGCGTCCACGCAAAGATGCTACACTTCTCGGAATATTGATTCGTTAATTTTGAATAATACTCTTTGTATACCGGTCTAATGTGTTGGACGATAGTCAGAAGTGGATAACGAATGATTAATAAAAAAAATGGGAGGATTCCTAGGGATGCGTACCTCTCTTGCCATTACGTCATATCCCAGCAGGTTCAAGGGACCGTCCCGCAAGCACTGTTCAGTAGAACCGTAACGTAGTACGTTGCATTATTCTTGCTGCTTGCTGTTCACCGTTTACGTGCGACGCCCCGCACATTCGCTAAGGTTTACACTTCCGTTATTTTTTTTATTTCTCTTCGTTTTACTCCTGTCCGTTTTCTTCTCTTGTTCTTCTTCCTTTCGTTCCTTTTCCTCTCTTCTCACTCGTTGTCTCGATTTCTAAGTCTCCCGCTCTACTTCCCTCATTTGCTTTCGTTTTCTCTCTCTCTCTCTCTCTGTCTCTCTCTCTCCTTCTCTCGTTTCTATCTTCCTCTCTTCGCGATCGTATCACCCTCTCTCGTTTTTCCTATTACTCTATCTCGATCTCGCCACCCTCTCTCGCTCTTCCGCTCTTCACTCCTTCTGGACCCTATCTTTAACGGGCGGGACGTTCCCAACGAACGTGCGACGTTTTCTTACTTCTCGAATCCTTCATTACTACGGGGTTGCACCACCGGCTAACCACGTCTACCCTGACCGATTACCCGATTCCCCTGAAGATTTCCACTAACGCATATGGACCAAATTGTAACAGTGGCTTCCTACCCCGGCACTTACTGCGGCGACTCCTAGTTTTAGATCGATTCTCCCTGTGTCCCATGTAGTATATCCCTACCGGAGACACCACCCTCTTACGGGGTGGATTTCTAGAAGGACATCACTAGGTCATTGCATGAAGCGTTTTGAAGATCCTTTGACGACTTTGGTCGGTAAGATAGATTTTCTAGGGACTTCTGCGTGTCTAGGGAATAGAGTCACTGAAACTTCCTAGATCCAACATGTCTGTATTATCCAGTATTTTCACAGAGATGAGTAGGGAGATGCACAACGCTACGGTTTTAGGCGATACCAAAAACATGGCGCTGAATCGTAGCGGCAAGGCCGAAAGTAGAGTTTTGTGATCATTGCCTCCGTTGATAATGCGGATCCCGCCGAGATGACCGCAATAACGAATGTGTAGCTTGGCAGATAGAGTTTCTCCGCTACTTATCGCTGGTTTCCAAAGCAACATTTAGAACGAGGAAGCTCATCGGATATAGCCTAAATTCGAACGCACAGTACAAGCTCGGTAAATTTAATATGACAAAAGCCAGCAACTCATGCCCGCCTGCACTGAAGTCTATGATGCCATCAGTATATTTAATAGATATTTTACCGATGTTGCGTAGCAGAACTATTGTTAGAACCTATCAGGAAATATAGAACTCCTTGAGGACTATTAAATAAGCGTATTGTTGAAACATTTTTAGGAATTTGCGGTGCCAACTTTAACCCGTGTAGCACCTCAATATTTGGAAAATGATTCATCAATACTCTTTTTCAAAAGTTCTCGAGGAGTTCTATAGTTTCTGATAGGTTTTAACAATAGTTCTGCTACGCAACATCGGTAAAATATATGTATATTTTCCAAAAATTGAGCTGCTACACGGGTGTGGATCACCAACGACGCACTTTTTAAAAAAATCTCTTAAAAACGTTTCAACAGCAGGCTTTATCAATAGTTCTCGAGGAGTTCTATAATTCCTAAAATGTTTTAACAATAGTTCTGCTACGTAACATCGGTAAAATACCTATTAAGGATACTAGTCGCACTATACGCTTCAGTGCAGTTATGCATAAGGAGCTGGTTGTTTTCAGATTGTGTTTCAAACATTTCCGGGATAGTTTTCTCTAGTACTCAATGTTGGACCATAGTTCCGTTTGAAACTATTGTTAAATAATGCTGGAAGCTAGCACTGCATCACTGCACTTCTTAACGCAGGCAGGCATCAGGTGCTGAGTTTTGTCTTAGTAAATCTTATCGAGCTTACACTGTGCACTCGAATATAAGATTACAAAAAAAATATTTAGGCAATATTTGATGAGCGGCCTCGTTCTAAGGGTTGCTCTGAGAACCAGCGGTAAGTTGCGAAGAACCTCTGCCGGCCAGGCTACACGTTCGTGATCACGTTCAGCTTAGCTACAACGGGATATGCATTATCGACGGAGGCGATGATCACAAATTCCTACTCCCGGACTCGCCGCTACGTTGTGCATCTCCCTACTCATCTCTGATTTTCATAAGAAAACGCAATTCTAACTGTATTTATTCTATGACGTTGACAATTTTGAGGTCTGTTTCTTTACTGCCAGGATTGCGCACGTGTTGATTTTAACTTTTGTTATTATGTTAAAGCGTAAATAAAACCGGTGTCGGATCCGTGGTCAAAACATTATTCGTTGCTTCAAGAAAGTTGTTGATTGAGAGGAATTTACAATGAGTACCATACTTGAGAAGATTGCCTCGATCGAGGCTGAGGTAACCTACTAGCACTGTAGTTGATTACTTAGGCGTGAGAATTTATTTTTCAAACGAATTTTTTTCCTTTAGATGGCTCGGACGCAAAAGAATAAGGCCACGTCCGGGCATCTTGGTCTCCTGAAGGCGAAACTTGCTAAGCTTAGGCGAGAACTGATTACTCCAAAAGGCGGCGGCGGTGGCGGTGAGCAAGGGTTCGAAGTTGCCAAAACTGGTGACGCCCGTATCGGTTTTGTTGGTAATGCGAGATAAATATTTTTTAATATTAACGACAAAAGATGTATATAATGGCAATCAACTATGTTTTGAAATAATTTTCAAGGTTTTCCATCTGTTGGCAAGTCAACGCTTCTGAGTACACTTGCTGGTGTTTATTCCGAAGTTGCTGCTTATGAATTCACTACCCTTACTACTGTCCCTGGTTGCATTAAGTACAAGGGTGCAAAAATACAGGTTGGTTCTTATTCGCAAATCCGAGGTACTTGCTGGTATTTTGATTTTAATTAGTTGTACTGGTTTAGCTACTCGATCTGCCTGGTATCATTGAAGGAGCAAAGGATGGCAAAGGTCGTGGACGACAAGTTATTGCTGTTGCAAGAACATGTAGTTTAATTTTCATAGTTCTGGATGTTCTGAAACCTCTCGGACATAAGAGGCTAATTGAACACGAGCTGGAAGGTTTTGGCTTAAGACTGAATAAGCAGCCTCCAAACATCAACTTCAGAAAAAAGGATAAGGGTGGCATCAACCTTCAGACTATGGTAGTTGAGAATTCTTTAAAACACTATATACTATCAGTTATAAAATGAATAAACAACCAATTTTTTAATTACAGTGTGCACAATCCGAGCTGGACTTGGATACAGTGAAATCTATTCTGTCTGAATATAGAATTCATAATGCTGATATAACTCTACGTTATGATGCTACTTCTGATGATCTCATTGATGTCATTGAAGGAAATCGGGTATACGTACCCTGCATTTATCTTTTAAATAAAATAGGTAAAAATAATGTGTTTGATACAAGTGAAACTCAAATTTTTTCACAGTAATTTATTTCTTATTTTATTACAGATCAAATAAGTATTGAGGAGCTGGACGTTATATACAAAATTCCTCACTGCGTACCAATCTCAGCTCATCACAAATGGAACTTTGATGATTTATTGGAGAAAATGTGGGATTATCTTCAGCTTGTTAGAATGTAAGTTACAAAATCAAAGTATTAACTTCAACATTTGGCAACCCTTAGTTTACTAACATCGTTATTAAATCCCTTGTTGCAGTTACACCAAACCAAAGGGGCAACTTCCTGATTACAATTCTCCAGTAGTGCTGAATACTGAAAGGAGAACTGTTGAAGATTTCTGCAATAAACTGCATCGGTCTATTGCTAAAGAGTTTAAATAGTAAGTGTTTTGTATTATAAGCATTTAATAAGAGTGCGACCTTATGTAACTATCATGTATCTACAGTGCACTGGTATGGGGTTCTTCAGTGAAGCATCAACCGCAAAAAGTTGGCAAGGATCACGTGCTGTGCGATGAGGACGTTGTACAAATTGTAAAAAAAGTGTGATTTTTATCTTAGAACTACGTTAAATCTACTATACATTCACTATTAATAAACAGACATATATTTAAATCACAAAAATCAAATAATTTGATTACAGTAAAAGAGAAAAATATAATTTACCACCATATTAGATATTTCATTGATATTCCTTCTTCCTCCCTTTTTTTCCCCATCAGATATAAGAACGTTCTCCGATATAACACTATAAATCCTGATTTCTGATTATTCCAAGTCTAGTGTTTCTGGTAAATATTTGCATGTCTTATTTTCTGTTTCTTAATCAGTAAGAGTATCCAAGTCATAGTTATATAACAGGTCTATGAAAGCCATAAAATATACTTATACAAATATATGATAATATCCATTACAGTAATAGCAGGTAATGAATATTTTAATCAGTAACATAATACTAAATCGGCTGTCTAAAGTTGGCGCTCCATTAGTTCAGTCCTGTACTAGTCCTCTGTTAGGTGGCGCACAGTGGTGACATCCGGTTCATTCCCACACGTCTTCGAATTTATTTGGTGTTGAAGCATCTAAAGTCTGATTTTATGCTCTATTCCTCTATTCCTATGATTCCTACGTTCATGCGACAAGGACAGCGAGCGACGTTAGCGCCAGCAGCCCGCAACCAGTCGCCATAGACCCCACGGAAGCCTACCCGAGACACTCGATGAACCTCGGGTAAGTTCCTCCCGTTTATACAGCTGATTCGAGAAGAATACTTTTCAAGAAGAGCTAGAGCGGTCTCATGGAAGGTCATCTTCACCGATGGCCTTCCTGGTCAATCTTGGACTAGACTGTCCCGTTGAACGTGCCACGGCAGGTGAAGGAGACTTTTTTATGCGGTAAACCAAATACCCACTGACAGTTGGGAAGTTTACTGAACCTGAGCTTGTCCTCTTGACGACATCCTTGTCAGAGACCGTTCTGGCATCTCTTTAAGTATCTACATTCAACATGTCTCATTTAATATATCTTTGAAAGTTGCTTCAAGATCTGGTTAATGATGGTTCAAGCATTACATAGGGTTCTTCTTGCAGGGGCTGGACCGAAGCCAAGGCTATTTACAAGGCCTGCCAGGTTTAATAACCACCCGATGGCTACAAGAAGTATTGCCATCCTGGCTGGATACTTTAATACTTTTCTTACTGCATAATCAAAGAGCTCGTTCTTTGCCAGTTTACCTTGAGCAGTCCAACGCTCTCTGTCCACAAGATGAGCATAGGTGCCCTAGGGGTAGGGGACCTATTTCACCTGCTCGAGTCTAACAAACTTGGGGATGTTGAAGAGATTAAGAAGGTCTTTCATGATCACTTCTTGTCGAGTACGTATTACAATGCTACTCCAGTGTCAAAGAATTAATCATGAAAACTTTCATAAATTAATTCAATGCAGTAAAGGACAGCTGGCTGGTGAATGGGTTATTTGATTACTACCTGTCTACAAATTCATTGAGAGCAGTGGAAATATTAGCTGGTGTACGTGAGCCACATGACAGACATCTGCTGGATCGTCTTACAGAGGCTCTTGCCAAAGGCGATGAAAGTCAGAGAGTTAAAGCTCTTACTCTACTGGGCCATGTGGCTCGACGGCAACCAACCTGGCTTTATAAACTTGCCAGTCATGCACTCTTTAGGGAACTCCTGAAGCTACTGAAGGTAGCAGGGGACATGTTATCACTAATGAGTGCCCTATTGCTTCTGGTCACTTTACTGCCCATGCTGCCTGCAGCTCTTGGTCCTTATTTACAAGAAATCTTCGAGGTATTTGGGCGTCTGGCGTCCTATCACCATCATCAGTCGTCATTCTTCTCGTCATCTACAAGTCTGTCGTCAGTTTCTTGTTCCGGTAACATGGACAAAGATCATCTCTATCTCCTACACCTACAGGTATTTAAAAAAATTATATAATCTAAGGATTCATCATATTTCAGACGGATTATTTATATGCATCGTAGGTGGGATTGTACAACTTATTTCATAGACTATACGCCATGTACCCTTGCAATTTCATTGCATATTTGAGGCAGCAGTATATTCAGCGAGATCAGCATGCAACCTTCACGCATACTGTAAGACCAATGTTGGACTCGGTGCGCATGCATCCTCTTCTCGTGACTGCGTCTAAAGATTCCGAAACCTCTGCAGCTAGGTACAGTTTATTTATTATACCATCATTCTATATGTGATGAATCTAGTAGCACGTTTATTTACTAGTTAATTTCAATTAAAGATGGAAGAAAATGGAGCATCACGACATTGTAGCAGAATGCGGCCGCTTCGCCCTGGACAGATCAAAGGAGGAAACACCTATATCCATGAACTCTCGCTTTACTCCGATTCTAGGTTCATCTTTGACTTGATCAAATAATTCTTCAAAAAAATTTGGAAAAACACTTAATCACTGGATATTATTTCTATTCTTTTGTAGATCATCCGGCTGCTTATATACCACTGAGTGGATCAGGAGGGTTGTCAACGGCAGGACTGAGTAATGGGGAAGAAGAAACATTTTGGTCGCCAAGTAGGGCAATTCCATCTCACAGTCCACCTCCGTTACAAGCTCCTCCGCACGAGCCACGTTCTGCGCCATCAACTCCGAACAATAACAGGAGTGGCACGTCACCTCCAGAAGCTGCTGTGGAGGCAACACCTGAAACAACTCCGGTTAAGGTACTACATTAAAGAAGCCAAGTTATTATTAATTAACTATTTTAGAATCATTAGCTGAAAGAATATTGATTATCAATAGGATTTAAGGCAGTTGTCCACGAGGCAACCTCCTCTTGGGTCTGCTGCAGTTCGTTCATTAGGAAACTTTGGAAATGGAAGCCTTGCTGGAAATTCACGACCACCTACACCGACGCCCTTAAATTCTTCCACAGGACTCTTTGTCAGTGGAGATGTGGCCATTAATTCGCAGACTATCCTATCACAGAAAATCGGCAAAATGGTTGCCGAGAGACAGAGTTTCCTTCAGCAGACTCAGGTTACGAATTCTAGTGATATGGATGGAAGAATTCTGGACATAGAGCTTAATCAGAATGGAAAGAATGATTCCTGGCAGGAAGATCAAGAGGTTCTTAGATTCATTGCAATTCTCATTGAATTTAAATTTGTAAATTTTAATCTGACTGTGAGGCCTCATCGTTTGGTTTTTAGGTATTGGAGATTGTCAGCTCAGCTAGACTTGAAGTCCACTCTGAAGGTCGTCCTGAACAGTACGACGAGGAACGGGCACGTGGGGTAATGGCTGATTTGTCTACAAAGGTTCGAAGATTCCGTTTCTACTCTCAATGTCAGTCTACAGTACCGTGCCAAATTGTACATCCTATAAGTGAGGTAATTTTATAAGAGTCAGTATGTCCTAAAGATGTGAGATGATCAGGATTCGGTCATTAACATTGATTATCGTTAGATTCGCAGAGTGAAGTCTTGTCCAGAGATCAAAATTGAGAATAAATTGAAAGGTGGGAATGGAGGAACACTTGTTGGCCTAAAAAGGACTGAGGAGGCTGGAACGCAGACATGCGACCTGCTTCCCTATGAACATCTTTTCGTAGGAATTTTCTCGCAAAGGACTTATAGAACGGAGCATCAAACTCCTAGACAGAGTTCCTATTCTAGACTGTCACCAAGTTCCATGGTAGATCGTTATGTGGAGATGTGTTCTCGTGCTGGGGGTTTTTCTAGTGAAAGTAACAAATCCAGTGAGTTGCATTCAATGATAAAATTAGTTTATTGGTAAAAATAATCGAATGGTACAAGGAGGCTGCACTTTTTATAGAAGTAGGAGTTTTAAAGCAGAAGCAAAGAAAGAAAGGCTCCGAGGATGATCCAGGTGATGATGCTGGAGATGAGGAAGGCCTGATCATGGATGGCGTTAATCAACAGTTGCAGCTTATGCAGATGCAGCTGCAATTCGAGCGACAACGACGAGAAGTTCATGCGGAACGCAATAGAAGACTTCTTGGTAGATTGCGAGATTCGCGAGCTCTCGAAGAACACAATTCTGCTTTGGTATGTCAGAATTTCTTGTCAAAACCGGTTGCAGGGATACATTTCTTGAAAATGATGTACATAATGTAAATACATTTTGCAGACTGATATGTTACGAACGGCAGAGAAGGAAGTGGATGCATTGAAAAATGAATTGGAACGTAACAAGAGGGAAGCTCGAGCTGCTGAAGAGGAATTTGCAGAAGCTCTTCGTCGTTGGCAAACAAATGTATGTATCCATTTAATAAGGAATGCTACATCATGCATTAGAACATGGTGACTGGATAATTATTGGATGCTGTTAAAAAGTGCGTAGAAGAACAACAGCAAAGCAAATTGTTAAGGGACCGTGTAGAGTCCTTGGAATTGGAGATTAAGGAAGAAAAAAAGAAAGTAGCTGCAGGCGAACGCCAGACCCAGGCTGCCGAAGCTGCCCTTTTCGAAGCAGCGCACCAGCTCAAAGATGCTCTAAAGGCTGCGAATCGTGGGGAAGAATTAAAACGCACCCTCGACACTGTACAGAAAAGATTTCTTCTTTTGGGCGAAGTACGTTTTCTATGTAAAATTACGTACGAACGTACGAATAATTTCTATGTAAAATTTGCCCATATATATATGTATATGTATATATTTATAATATTCTACATAGGCACAGCTAAAGCTACATGAACGTTCTGGCGGACCGACTCCAATGGCGAGACAAGAAGCAGGACAGATTCAAAGGGCTTACGCAGAGGAGTTATCCAGTGCGTAAATAGGACATGAAAATGTCTAAGTCTTTCATAATACACATATTTAATACAAAATTTACTACTTCTTTTGCAGGCTTACGTCGGCAATTGGAGTCGCGCGGTTCTCTCGTTGAAGCCTTGAGGTCTCGTCTAGGCGAAGTAGAAATGCGCGAGGCTAGAAAGGAAGCACAGCTAATCGATCAGCAAAGACTTCTTCAAGAAGCAAAGGAGCGACACGAGGCAGAACTGCGTGCTGTAGAGTCCAAGTATAAAGCCCAGGTCGAGATAAATCTTCTTTTGGAAGGTCGCATACTTGAACTTCACGGGACTCTAGAAGCTGCAACCTGTAGTACTAGTTCAGCCATGATGAACCTGGCATCATCAGCGTCTCCAAAGGAACGTTCGCCACCTCTCTCGGCCAGTCTCGCTTCTTCCAGCGAGGGAAGTCTCGCCTTCCACACCGGAACTGGCATCATGATGAATGACTGTTGTGACTCTGCCGGTGAAATTCCAAATCTGCAGGCGATCGTTGAACCCGCACCAAGCTTAGTGACAAGTCCATCTCGTTCCAATACACAATCACAACAGCAGCAACGACAGTATCAAAAATCAGAAGATTAGCGCCGCATAAAAAAACAGTAACAATTGTATATTGATGATCACGCCTTTCGCGCTCGACTGCTGTGACTGGTTTTTTGTTTCCTCAATACCATGCACGAGAACAAATTATTGTGCAGGTGTACATTGCACCGGAAACAATGGAGAATAATTCTTAGTATCTTCTAATCGATAGATTATTTACGATCCATGGAAAAGATAATAAAAAGAGTAAAAAACATTAAAGCTGCGTTCAGTTAATTCTAAACACTGGGTACATTAGAAGTAACTGAACTGCAACCTTAATGTTGCATGATTACGGTCCATGGATGGAGAAACGGCAAAGGAGCTTTTGGATCGTAAGCTTTTATCAAGACGATTTCACTCTGAATAAAAGTTGAGATATTTTGTGAGCAATCCTATACTGGCTTTGTCAATTTATTCAATTGAGCCACCACCCTCTCTCAAATCACTTTATTTCCTGTAATCCCTAATGCTATCTCTTGATACAGGAGAGACGTACGTTCTTTTTGTCATGTTTATGGTAGCAAAATATGATGAAATATATTAATACGTGTTGTCATACATATTACATATAATAATAGTGCCATTTTCTAATACTGAACGTATAAATTCTTCTATATGCATGTTACATTGTGTGACATCTAATCAGCTACATTAAATAAGACACTTCCACAGTTTCCACAGTTATGTCAAAAAATGCGTCCAGTTGGAATAGTACGACTTTGTCATGTCATAAAGTAATGTGTTGAGCGCATAGGGTAAATTATCAGACGACTTAGTAGTCGGTTAATGCTGTAATATAGCAATTAAGATAATGTGACGGATAAGATAAAATTATAAGACCCATCCATCCCTTTCAAGCTGTTCCAGCAGTTTTGTCCTGCCATGACTTGGGCAAACACCTTACATGCTTCGCACTTTCATTTATTAATCACTGTCTTCCTGTTAGTAGGTCTGCAGTTCCTGGTTCATTGTCAAGAGGATCGCATCATCAGGTGTTGCATAACTGGCTAAATCTGGAAATAACACAAGGATAAATCAATTATATAAAAAATGAGATTTTAAATGTGTGCGCGCGCGCGTGCGTGGTGTGTGTGAGTTTGTGTTTATTAATATTATCATTGTTCCTGCTCATTAGTTGACAATGGAATTCGACTCAATACCATTAATGAATGTACGAGAACTGTTAGGCAAGGCGTATAAAATGTAATTACATAGAGTAATTGTATCTACTGTACATATTCTGTCTACGGAAATGGGTACTAGAAACTACAAGAGATTCTACGACGGTCAGAAACTATGGGAATATTGGAAACTACAGTTGCTATAATTTTATTGTTCTACAGTTCTACAGTACCAGACTACAGTATTACAAGTGAACTATCATCGTTCCTACTCACGATTATGGCCTTGATGAATAGGACTCGCTTTAGCTTTTTGTAATAGTAGCTGTAATATCCAGTAAATTGCTAGCCAAATGAGTGCTCCTATTGAGAAGATTCGGAATGTTACGACACCGCCATAAACATTCATTAGCCACCCGCACAACAAACTGCCTGCTGATACACCTGTGAACAATTTTTTAATTATAATTTTGATTCCTATTTATTTATAAATAATGTTTTATATCAAATTATTGATTATTACTGACCTACACCTTCAAAGACAGCACCTACGAAACCCTGCATAGTAGCTCTCATGCCAGAAGGCGCGACTTTGTCTGCGTAGGAAACCATTGTGGGCCAGCACAGTCCCAACGTGGGACCATGCAATATTTCTAATGGTAGAAATACCCACAGATTCCTAACCATGCTGTAGGCCATAAATCTGTAATTACAGATAATGTCAGAATTTTCCTTATGTTGTTGAGGATATGGAGAGCCTACCTAGCAGCGTAGATAAGAAGTACAAAGCTCATGACATTGACGTGGCCGAGTTTACGTAGGACGGCACCCGAGATAAAATTAAAAGGCAACTCTCCCAGGAAACATTGAACACCTGTAAGCAATCCTTGAACAGTTTTTATCCAAGCTGCTTCAGAATGTGTCGCTATGTCTTCAGTGTACCAGAATAAAAAGTTCCAAACTACACCAGTGCACATTCCTGCCCCGATGCACCACCAGCCAAACACTAGTACTCTACCTTCCTTTCCGACAGACAATAATTCCCACAAAACGGATGGGTCTCCTTTAGAGTACTCAATATTTTTCTAAAAATGTATAAATTTTTGTTGTTTTCTACAAATTCTGTCATACACGATTGAATAATAGTTTTTATTCTACCTTCTTTATAGTAAATGATACTATAATGTCAAGAATCATGGCAATAAGCATGATGTAAAATATGCAGGTATAATCTTTTTGTGATTGACCACGACTGAAAACATCTATGAGGTAGCCAGCACTTATTCCAAAAATTCCAAAGCCTATACTGCCCCACATTTTCTGTTTGCCATAATCCTTTCTGTTTTCATCCCCTAAAATTCGAAAATCTTAATAAGGGTATAGATTGCAACCTGTAAAAAGTAATACATGAAAACTCACCTAACAGAGCACAGCAGATAGCATCTGCTATACTAACAACAACAGCCATGCCAACCCAGCTTACAATAGCTGCCCATAAGAATAAATGAAATTGATATGTAGAGGTTTGTGATACATTGCGACCATTCCTTACTTCCTCGAGTAAATGGTTCATGATGGGGTTATTACGGCAGCTTGCCATGCATGAGGTTCTCAAGTTAAAACTACAGGCAGGTGCGTGTACAACACTCTCAGAGAATGTCATGTTCAATACGCGTACGTTTACACAATTGCCTGTTGGTAAGTTCTGATACATATTAAACCCTACAGTAAAGTTAAATGTTGTTCCTTCTATGACATTCGTGCGAATTAATTGACAAAATTGTGTTGCATTAGGCTTAGAACACGATTCATTGTATGTGTTATTGGTTATATTACAGGACAGCTGAAAATCAAGCAATGAAGATTACTGTTTATTTAATGTATACTATATATAATACTGTTTAAATATTTAGAATGTAACATAATTTATACCTGACAATTGGAGTACAGTGTTATGGAATTTAATGCATCGTAAGTTATTTTGGGTGAAAATCCTTTTGTGGAGCAAACTTCTATAAATGAAATACCCCTGTCGCAAGTAAAGGTTACTTCTGCACTGCTTTCAATTTCAGGAATAAAATTGATTGTGAAAAACCCTATAGCAAGAATGACTTGAAATATAAGGAATATTGTTTTGTGCAGTCTAAATTTATCAGCCAAACCACCAAACAGTGGTTTGGCTATTAATCCTGAGATAGGCAAAATAGTATAAATAGTGCCCACAAGGCTACTAGAGAATCCCAATTGTTTTGCAATTGTTGGTAGAAAAGGTACAATAGGTCCAGTAGCTAAACATCAAATAACAAAATTTTGTAATGTCAAGCAACTATCTGAGAATCAATTGTAAGTAGAGTAGTTTCAAACCTGCATTATAAAGAAAATAATGTGCCTTCATAGGCACCAATTCTTTGTTCACATGCTCCAACATGATGCAGCTGTATAATTTTGATCAAATATGAAATCAAAGTATTTTTACCGACCTAAAACGTAAAAAATAGGTATCTCTCACATATTCTGACCAGAATGGTCAAATAATCGATAAATTTAATCAAAACGAAAAAAATACATATCAATACATATGTCTTACCTTCAGTTTCATTAATTGCACTGATCCTTATCACATACAAAATGGATTAAATATTAAAATTACTAAGTAAAAGTAACATGTGATTTATTTGCTTGAATCAGCAGGTTAAACCACTGCGTATCAGGTTAGTTTCAAATTTCAAAGTTAGGACGCTTCAATAAAGTTCACTCTAACGTGCCGTTAATCAAACTATTAAATCGAATAGCGCTTATCTAAAAGAATTAGAGTATGAATACTATCTTTTGGATAAAAGAATCTAGAATCATTTTGAGATCTTGAAAATATATACAATTGTGTATGTACAATCTGTGACTAGTACCGCCATCTATAAATATACTCATATATCAGATTGTACATACACTTACTCAAATTTAAACATACCAATTATCCATCAAAAATCTCTACCATATTTATTACTCATTATTTTCATCGTATTGAATGAATTACAACTCCAAATAATGGTTTGAAAAAGAAATAACTATTTGTAACAAACCGTGTTTTAATTTCTGTCATCGATACACATTTACAATATATATATGCTTCTAACTTGTAATGAAAGATAGCATTGTAGTATGTTTTAGCCACCTTGTACGGCTTTCGTCTGACTGAACGCTTACCTCAAAACAATTGGGAATCGTGAGTTCGACGTGAAGCTGCTGCACGAAGCTAAGGCGTTCCTCCAATATCAGAAATTTGTCAAAAAATGAGAAAAATTCGGACGCAAATATCTCTCTTATTATGTCTGCAATCCGTCCGAATTTTTTTTTCATCTTTATTATTTTTTCTTGCTCTACAACTTTTGCATTTAACTTGTTTCAATATCTTTTGAAATGGCGAAGATAATTTTTTTTATTTGCGACCGGAAGTTGAGCGAACAATAATAATATGCCCATTCGATGCGCAATCAAAAAACATTCAATGGTTGTGACATCAGATTGTCCAAATTGTGCACCGTTTCACCGCAAATCTCAAACGTGCATTTCTGGTGATACACTCTGTATATATATATAATTCTTCAGACATCTTTTGTATCAATATTTCATTTAAATCAATATAGGTGGGGTAATAGATTAATCAGGAATACATATTTTTTTACTCTGTCTTCTTTCTTTTCTCTATGCATCATCCTGGATGATCCTAATCATTGCAGTTCGTAATGTCTTTGACGCTGCGAATCTGTCTATATAAACTGCACGTAGCCGTCTTTTGGGGATATGTATGTTATGTACAAAGAAAAGGTTCTATCTTAACTCTATTGCTTATCATTACATATACGTACTCTACATAACGCACACTCATGGCAGTGTACGCAAATATATTGTACAGAAATCTCTTTAGATTGGTAGTCAACGTATATCTAGGTCATTATAGAGCTGTCTAGTTCTTTGAACGATATCTACTGATCCAGACATGAATCAGGAGCTAAACTTGATCCTTATAGATCTTAAAGCTTCACCGTGAAGTTCCTGATTCACGTCCTGTCACAAATATAACTTTATATTATATACATATTACTACATATATATTAAGGAATAAAAGCTGGGATCCTAGTAAAATGTATAAAATGTCGAGAAATCTTGTCAGATAAAAAAGAATGTGTAAAACTGGGAGCAGTTTTTGAAAATAATAACAAAATTTAGAGAGCTTTATCCTCGTACTCTCTCTGTATATCTAGCTTTCCTTCTTCGGTTTATTTGTCTTATACTAGCTTTTCCCTCTTTAAGAGATACGCAATGATTGCCTTTCTAAGCAGATTTCAAGGGCTAGAGCCAGGATGGTCTGTGATGATGCGGAGGAGGCTGTAATGCGTACAGTGAATGTATATACTGCTGATATGCAGGATCCACTCCCAAATTTGGTCCATGCGGACCGACATATGCTGAAACTGGCGGACCGTACGCGGCCGAGCGTTGCGTCGAATGTAAAAATGGATGTGGAGGATAATTCCGAGGTGGTTGATTATTCAATTTGTTGCAGGCCTGCTGCGAGGCGTCTGTAACCGGTGTGCCTTGCTGTTGTTGCTGTTGCTGCTGCTGCTGTCTGAGGGCCATGTTGTAGTAACTACTAGGATTCCTGAATTCGTCAAGAAAGGCGAACGTGGCAACGGCTGCAGTGTCCTTGTCGTAAAATGGTGAACTGTTTGCAGTCCCGCTTGGTGCTGCAAAATTAAAAGCACTTCCGCCTGGTGGAACTATCGATGCGTTTTTCAGAGCAATTGGATCTGTAGGACTGGTTGAATATTGTGGAAAACCTGGAATTGCACTTCCACTCTGTTGTTCTATGTTTCCTTGAGGAGGAACAGGTGCTACGTTTTGTTGTTGTTTATTTTTCCTACTCTTCTTGGCTTTGGTGTTAGCTGGTGTGGCTGGTACTTCTGGAGGACGACGTGGTACCGACAGCATACCTGGATTCTTTGCTGTGGCGTTTAAACTTTGGAGAAGATTCAAATCTAAATCAGAAGTTGGTGCAGGACTCCGAGCATACGTCATAGGATCTGGTTTGGTTGGAGGTCTTGGAATGGTCAAAAGCTGTTGCTGCTCCTTGTTACCTCTTCCCACTATTCCCAGACCAAGCCTTGCGTAGGCAGGATTGGATGCTACAGAATCCGCCAAAGATCCAAATGTACTATCAAACTGGCCACCAGGTACAGGTTCAGCTTGTGATAATGACATTATTGGATCGAATCCAAACTGATCCTGTGGACGACCTGGATCCTGCGGGAGATTCCTTGATGATTCAGCCGGCTCATTGTACATGCGTTTCTTCACAGGAGCCAGATTACTTGTGGTAGGTGCTACAGGTGAACCCTTGGCACTTGTATCGAAGTAATGTGGACTTGGATAAACAGGCCTGCAGCTAGAATTCGGCATTGGATACGGTGGCGTCTGGAAGCCTGTTGCTGACTGATATAAAGACTCGTGTGGAGGTATATTTTGCTGAAAACTCAACAACTGAGATTGATCCGCGGGCTGCAGTTGTTCTCCACCACTGGAAGGTTTACATAGGAAGGATCGCTGTTGCGTAACTGCCTGAGCGTATTTTTGTACGTTCAAAGAGTCGTTAGGTGCTGGGAAGCCATGTCTTTCTTGCGGCTGATGTGGATTTTGCTCTTCAATTCTCGAGGAAGGTCTTTGTGGGTCTGTGTTAATATTCACTGGTCGATCCGAACCTGAGAAAGTGTTTCCATAAGCTGTTGGATATTGATTCGGTCCTTGATACACTTGGTGTGCAATATTAGGGCTCAATGTTGGTTCGTTTTGTCCAACGAAATTTCTGTGCTGTTCTACAACACTCTGAGATTTTCCTTCAGTGGGTTTTAGAAACTCAGCTCTTCTATCAGATTCATTTGCAAGTGGTAAGTAGGATGGATTTTGTTTGAAACTTTGAGGAGGATATCCAGGTGCTGCGTTTTGTGGATAATTGTCTGAGTTCTTCACTACCTGCGTGTAATTCGATGGTTGTTGTGGCGAGGGTTGGGAATAATTTGCTGTTGGTTGAGATGCTGATGGTTGAGGACAGTTGGATGTTTGTTGTGGCGATGGTTGAGAATAATTGCGCGGTTGTTGAGAGGAAGGTTGAGAATAAGTGCTCACAGGAGCTTGCTGCGGCGACATTTGTGAATAGGTTGGAGGTCGCTGAGGGGAAGGATGTGAATAACTAGGTGGCTGTTGAGGAGATGGTTGAGAGTAATTGGCAGTTGGTTTCGGAGAAGATTGAGAAAAGCTCAGAGATTGTTGAGAAGACGGTTGCGAATAACCTGAATTTTGAGGTGAAGGTTGAGAATAGGCTAAATTCTGTGGTGAAGATTGTGAATACCCAGGTGGGTGTTGAGGGGAAGACTGCGAGTAACCTGGAGGTTGAGGAGATGGTTGATTATAATTTGAGGGTTGAGTAGATGGTTGGGGGTAACTAGAGGGTGGCTGTGGTGATGGTTGTGAGTATCCAGGAGGTTGTGGCGAAGGTTGGGAGTAATTTGAAAGTGGCTGAGGGGAAGGTTGAGAGTAACTTCCTGGTGTTTGTGGCGAGTGTTGCGAATACGTTGGTGGTTGCTGAGGAGAAGGTTGGGAATAACTTGGCGGCGGTTGTGGAGAAGGTTGAGAATAATTCGAATGTTGTTGTGGTGATGGTTGTGAGTAAGTTGGTGGTTGTTGAGGAGATGGTTGAGAATAATTAGCAGGCGCTGCTTGTGGTGAAGGTTGATTATAATTCGGTGTTGGTGGCTGCTGTGGAGAGGGCTGAGAATAACTCGATGGCGTCTGTGGAGATGATTGTGGATAATTTGTAGGTATGGACTGTGGTGAATGCTGAGGATACACCGGTGACTGATTTTGGCTACCTGAAGGTAGTTGTTGAGAGTATGATTGACTCTGAGGGGAATTTTGTGGATAATTAGCATTCTGTGGTGAGCGCTGCGAGAAAGTTGGTGACAATTGTCGATAATCCCCAGGATTATCTAAAGGAGCTTTTTGGTAAGATTGTAAAGAAGGTTGTGGAGCAACTTGTGGATAAAGGGATGTCGCTTGGTCATACGGCGATGAAGAAGGATAGGCTGGTGATATAGGGTTGTTCTGTGGAGATGGGGTCGGTGGCAGCTGCGCACTGTATCTAGGAGGTGTTGTGTAATAAGGACTGTTATAAGGGCTACTACCCGTGGATAAGGCATCCTGGTAAAATCCTGCACCCCTGATTTGTGGCTCAGCTGGGATGGGTAGAGGTTGATTTTGCGGCGATTTGCCTGAACGACCTGGTGGTGGTGATTCTTGTGAAAAGCTCGATACGGATTCGCTCACGCTACTTCCCCCAGTACTGAGACGTCTCTGTCTTGTACAGACCTCCGGTGTGTCACTTTCCTTTTTCGTTACACTTTCCTCAACTTCTTCCTCTTTTTTCTTTGATTTCGGTGCACCAAACGCCTTGAACCAGGCACTTAAATTCGGAGTTGCAGATTTTGGTTTTTGCGAATCCTCACTAATCACACGACTACTGGACTCTATACTTTCTCCGCTTGTAGTAACCGGAACTGTAGTTTCCTTGCCTATAGTCGCTTTTTCTTCCTTGATGCTTGTCGAGGTGCTTGCTGGAATACCAGGATGATCCTCGTCGTCATCCTCATTCGATAGATTTGGATTGGGTGAGGAGACGAGGCTCTTACAAATCAATTGAATCGAATCTGCGTTTCGTAGGACGGTTCCCAAACTTAATTTTGGTTCTTCCAAAGTGTCACGATTTGTTTGATCTGTGTCCGATGTTGCTTGAATGGATGCGGTATCGTTTATGGTATTACTTGGTAAATGTAGAGGTTTTTTCAAAAGAAGATTTCCCTTACTTTTACCAGGCTGGAGACGATCAATTGTTCGCTGAACTTTTTTCGGCCTCGGTGGACCATTTGGTCCAAATAATTTAGTCGAACTCGGACGTTTTCGCGACACGTCAGGTTTAGTTCCGGTTCGCAAAGGTTCGCTAGTGGATGGATGAAATATTGGCGAATCACTACCAGATGAGAATTCAGAGAGTCTAGGTGTGTCATCGAGCCATTTGTTGATATCGTTAAGGGTCTGTTCCGTGGCTTGGTTCAAAGCCTGAATATTAGTACCTTCCTCACTTCCAAAACCTTTAGCATGCTTGGATTGTAAAGTTTTCGACTTCTTAGTTTCAATTACTTCCTGTTCTTGATTCTTACTGTTTCCGGACCCCTTATCCTCCTTGGTCGTCTTCTTAGGTCTCAATTGTTTCTTATTGACTTTACCGGCATCTTGAAGGCTACTGCCGTTTGAAGGCACTTTTTTTGGATACACCCCACGGCCGCTATCCTTTGAAGTCTTCTTCAATTTCTCTCTCTCTAATTTCAACTTCTCCTCGCGTCGCCTCTCGCTTATACGATCCTTTAAGCTATCAAGCGATTCTAGGTCTTTATTTCTCACCAGAGATGCGAATTTCTTCGAGGTTGGGTCCATTTTATCGTCGTCCGCTTCAAATTTACTACCACTCGTCGTATCAGAATTTTCTTGGTTTTTCATGACGCCATTTTTCACACGCTCCTGTTTGTTCATCTTCGATTTCTTATCTTTTTCCTTGGACGAGCCTTTGGTGTCAGACTTCTCATTGGTCCTTTCAAATAATTCTAATTCTACTTTTTCGTCTCGTCGAGTTTTCTTTGTCTTCGCCTGAGCTGGTCCGTTTTCTTCCTCTTGAGCTTTACAGTTCTCTTGAGATTCGGCTTTTTTCTGTTTAGTCCTCTTGGTACCCTTCTCCAAGGTCTCCTGTACTTCTTTCTTTTCTATTTGTTTACTCTTGCTCTTGACGATACTCTGAGTATCGTAATCCTCCTCGAAATCATCCTTCTTTTTCTTATCCTCCTTCATCGCCTTCATTACATGCACTAACTTCATTTCTTCTTTGACTCGCTGCTGTACTCTGGTATCTCTCTTACTATTCTTTCTTGATTCCACTGCCTTCTCCTCTTTGGGTAATATTTTCTTACTTTTTGACAAGAGCTCCATATGTTTTTTCCTTTTGGATTTTATCACATTGACTTCGGATATTGCACCATCATTTTCCTGATCCTTATCTTCTTCGTCCTCGTCCTCGTCCTGCGGCTCTACTTCTTTTATTTTCTTTAGCTTTTTCTTACCTTTCTTATCCTTGGTCAGCTTTGATTCAATCTCACTTATAATTGGCTTTACAGCCTCCTCCTCTTCCTCCTCCTCTTCATCATTCTTCAATTTTTCTTTTGCAGTCTTCTCTGGCCTGTTTGGTTTCGATTTCTTATTTGGCTTGCGTCCTCGCTTTCGAGGATTCTGTTGTGGCAATGATGGCGAAGATGCTCTACGAGGATAAGGAGGTGGATTTGCTAGTACTGGCGGGGGCGTTGGCGATGGTGGTCCTTCATCACTTGACGGTTCCGATTCAAGGTATCGATCTACTGCCCTGTCGAAAGCTTCTTTGAGATTGACCGCCATTTCCGTATATTCTGTTGATTATAAAACACATAAGAACTATAAGACATCCATCAAAATATATTCTTAAATTATATTTACCATTATCAGAGCCGTTGTATTGCCTACAGTTATCAACGATCAACCGGAAGTCACGTTTGAACTGACTAAGACTCTTGTACGAACCACCTTCCAATTTTTCTTCCATTGTACTTAGATCCATGGGACGTCTAACCACGCTATAGTACCTATGCGAATAAAAATACATGAATTTTTATATCCAAGTGTAAACTTTCGACGAAAGGATTGGGGCAGTAAAATTTATATTTACCTGGGTGCATACTCCTCATCCACTGGATCAATGAATGGCCAAGCATCCACATGATCTTTGAGACTCTCAAGAACTTTATGCATACCAACTCTGCGTTCTTCCTCCTCGATACCAAAACCATATCCATAACCGTAACCATAATTGGATGAGTGATACGTGGTGATGCCATGCCGACCTATGCCCCTTTTACTTCCTAAGTCCTCAACTTCGTCCCTTGTATGGATAACAATTTGACCAACGGCCGAAGCCAAAGAATTGTTAGTCTGGCGTCCCTTCTTCTGGATAGGCGGCGCCACATTCGCTTTTGGCACCCCATCCTCGGCTTCTCCACCCTTCGAGCGCTGCCCGCTGTTCTTCTTCGAGCTCTTATTTATCTTTGTTTTGACTTTAGCCCTAACCATGACTGCTTCCGATTCCTCAGCAGGTTCTTGGCTTCGAAGAATACGGGAGTTGGTCCGCTGTAACAGTCTGCGCCTCTGTTGTTTCTCCTTCAGATCGAACAGCTTCGGGATCTCCGGCATAAAGTCCTCGGATAAGGTGTTGTAGAGTTTCCGCTCAATGTCGTATTCCTAAGGAAGAGTTTTCTCTCTTTAAAATGCAAGGCTCTTTAAGAATATCGAAGAACTCGTAGGAATTCGCCCGTCCTCTTTCTCACCGAGTTTCGAAACTTATCGACTAATCGACCCCAGTCCTGTTGAGTAAAACAGACCACTTGCCAAACGCTTTCGCAAGCCTTTTCTTCTTCTGGTTTTTCCTCTGCTTTATCTGTGTCCTGTTCGTGTTCCACTAAACTATCTTCTTCCTCCTTCTTCTCTTTCTTCTCCTCCTCCTCTTTCGCCACTCTGTTCCGACAACGTCTCTTGCGCTTCTTGTCCTTTGGCTTGCCTTTTTGTTTTTGAGAGATACTGCTAAATGTACCAATGTAGTCCTCCCTATATAGTCGAGTTCCGTAAAAGTACCAGTAAGCAGAATTCTTTCGATCATGACCCAATGGTTCAACTCGCAGACTATCCGAGTCTAAGTTGCTTAGCGACTCCTCCTGTTAACATAAACGCACACAAGCTGGAAAGTGCCTTTCCAACAAAAGTAATTTCAGGAAAAGACGTACCACGTCCTCAGCGTCTAGCCTGAAGTCACAAAGAGAACGCAATATTTCCACCTTTTGCCGAAGAGGGAGTAGTTCGAAATCTACATCCGTGTTAAACGGATTCTCGCATTTATATTCCTAAAATGTGACATATGTGAATATAGTATTATTAGACATGCTAAAGAAATACATCAACTTCTAGTATTACCTGACACTTCTTACGAAACAGCCTACGAAGGAACATTTGATAGTTAAAGGTAGAGATGTCATTGCGTGTATCGTTGGGAAGGCAGCCCTCTAGTAAACGCACTATCAACTCTTGCAACAGTCGTCCTTCGGTGCCACCATCAGTTAAAAGGGCTTCTTCAAGATCCTAGAAATTGTACAATGATTTTGTGATTTTGTATGGATAGGAAAATGATCAATGCAGAATAACATGCACGTTCAAAAGCAAATCTACAAATTTCAACAGACTCGCATGGGTCTTCTAGTAAATATTCTGCATACTCGTACGAGTTGGCATTTGGGTAGATACCTCGATATCAAAGTCCAGAAGATTGAAGGCAGCCCTAAATAATGAGCAGAAGTGCGCTATACTTGGGACCTCCCACCACGATTGAATGTCTAAAAAAATAAATTAACTACTTAAGCCAAGAACCTTCTATGTTTATATACTCTCTTTACTATTGGTCATAAGAAACTGTTAATCGAAGGAGTCTCATCAAAAGTGACTCTGTTACAGAAAAGCTCAACACCAGCACTATTTACCCTAGCAAGGTACAGTAAATTCAAACAATGAAATCTCACCTAGGATCCCAATGAAAGTGGGAAACATAACCCGTCCTGTGGCGGGTAATCTGACGAGTTCACCAGTACAGGTAGAGGAATCTAATCGGCTTTCACCGATATTAAATGACCTCAGTAATAAAATATACAGGGGCCCACAGGTGGGCCCCGCTGTTCGCTGGTACCTTCAGCAGGAAGCCACTATTCCCTCAAAATACGAGGTGGCTAAAGCAATGCCCATCACACAAGGAATTCCAAAAACTAGTAAGTGCCACTGGCACTTATACATAGTTCATCGGTACCCATTCCCCAGGTCTCACTCTTTACTTCTGTACCTTGCTATGCCGATTTATTTTGGCACGACACTCTGCGGGCTGGCAGCGATGCGCGCGACACCCGCGACCATTCTACACGGAAAACACTCCAGGGTCGAAACAACCACCGACCACCGCCACGACTTCACTAGCTCTCCTGCACGCTGGATGTAATCGCATCGGGTTTCAAGCAACAAAATACTTCTACCCGAACTTAAAACGTTTTGTTCTTGGTGTCGATGATTTCTAGATATACACGTACTTCTGCTACTCGAACCTGCTCGGACCTACAGTCGGGTGCGGACTGTACGAAACTACGGCTACGGGCGTATACCCTTAAACGTACACTGCATAGATGCACTTCGAACAAATCGCGCGAAAGGGAAAGTCCTCCAGAAAATGGCGTTGCCATCAGTTGATGAGTTGCCATGTGATGCCATGTACATATTACGAAGTTAAGGCTAGTTTGCAACACTAACTTTCGAGCGTATGTGACGTTCCAAAATGTAAACTTCAAGATTTCTGCTGTATAAGACGAAAACATTGTTTATTATATACATTTAATGTTGTTGAGGAAACTGTTTAATTGTTATGATAATGAGATTATTCAATGACAAAGGGTATTATACAAATTCTTTATATTCACAAAAAAGTCTTATCGCGCATCGCTTGATGAAAATCAATCATAAAAGGTCAGTGTGATTTTTTTTTTTAGAAATGCATCGTATTTATGCTGAGATGTATTTCTAGGGTTGGTTAGGACCAATCTAACCTGGTGTAACCCCTGCTTAGGACAAGCCGATCGCGCCGACAGAAGCGTGAGCGTTATTTATTTCCCGCGTATGTGCGTGCGTCGCATTGTACATGACTTTCTGCATACATTTAATTTTATATGGATAAAATTTCTTGTTTTTACTAAACGTATTGTTATTCTTAGCTATCTTTAGCAGTCACGTTATCCCTGAGAATAATTGAGAAAGTTCTGAGATTATACAATTGTTTATAAGGAAAATGACGTCGTTTAACTTGAGTGAAATTGTTGAGCGTTTGAGAGAGGCTAGCGAGACCCAAGGAACCGGTGTTTCGTTTGCTGGTAGATCCTTAAAACTTGACAATGAACAGGATGGTGAGTTTAGTGAAGGTGTATTTATATATACAATTTAACAGTTTTTTTATATTTGGCTTTGTAGCGGAGGAAGTCGTGCAAGCGATTAAGAATTGCGAGTGTTTGGAATATTTGGATCTCGAAGGAAATACCTTAGGACCTGAAGCTGCAAAAGCTGTTTCAAAAGCATTAGAAACTCATGGCACACACTTAAAGCGAGCTCTCTGGAAAGATATGTTCACAGGGAGAATGAAAACTGAAATTCCATTAGCTTTAGAATATTTAGGAGCTGGTCTTTGTGCAGCTGTCACGGCTCTTGTGGAATTGGACCTTAGCGACAATGCATTTGGTCCTATTGGTGTGCAGGGACTGGCTGCTTTTCTCAGCTCAAGAACATGCTATACACTGAAGGAGCTTAGACTTAACAACAATGGTTTAGGAATTTCAGGTGGAAAAATATTGGCTAAAGCATTACTAGATTGTCATCTCAACAGCACTAGAGAAGGTTGGAAGAAATTGTAATTTGAGAATAATTAATTAATATTTGTACTATAATTTTCAACTTACATATTAGGTGCGAACCCACTTGCACTCAAAGTCTTTGTTGCCGGAAGGAACAGATTAGAAAATGAAGGTGCAACAGCATTAGCATCAGTGTTCAAAACGATAAAGACATTGGAAGAGGTGGTGATGCCACAAAATGGAATTTATCATCAGGGTGTTGCTGCACTGGCAAGTGGGCTTTCTGTTAATACTGGACTGCGTATTTTAAATTTAAATGACAACATTGTGGGACCCAAAGGTGCCCAAGCTCTTGCCAATGTTTTGCCATCATTTGTGAACCTAGAACGATTGAATCTTGGGGATTGCCTTTTGAAGACAAAGGGAGCTTTAGTAGTTGTCGAAGCTCTTGGTTCAGAAAGTAGTCATCCCAATTTAACAGAATTAAATTTGACTTTTAATGAAATTGGTACAAGAGCTGCCAGCCCTATAGCAAATGCAATGGCTGACAAAATGCAATTAACGAGTCTGCAGCTTGATGGAAATGCATTTGGTTCTAAAGGACGTGCTACGCTTCGTGATAACCTCACCATTTCCGAGAGAATCGACTCTTTGGGTTCACTGAATGAAGATGAAAGTGAAGATGAAGATGAACCTGAGGATGGGGATGAGGATGATGATGGGGATGATGAAGAAGCAGAGAAGGAAAATGAGAGTGATGGAAATGTGTATTATGAAGAGAATGAGGATGAAAATGAAAATTACAATAATGATGAAGAAAATGAGAGCGACGCAGAAGAGAATAAGAATAAGAACGACGATTTTAATAATCGAAAGCCAAAACGTATTACTGTGCAGGAGTTCTTGAAATCGCCAACTGGAGAGAACCTTTTATTACTTCAAGGCGACAAGGCAGGAGTTCTTATAGATCATACAAAGGTATGTAAATAATTTTTTACACTTCATTAAGAATATTAATCACTACTTCATTTGTAGAATTTATTCAACGGGGATAGTAGCCGCGGTGACAGATATGTAGAAGATCTTTGCAAAATAATTATGAAAGTGTCCACCCTTTGTGACAGTGGTTACGTCGATGTAAGAGTTGAGGCAGAAGGTGTTACTGAAATCCTTTATGCAGAACTCTTTACATATGCCATTAAAAATAACAAAGTCTCTACTTTGAACAATGCTTTATTAGTTAATCTTGGTTTAATAAAGGTAATTAATTTTATTTTGTTCTCCAGTTTTTCAGTGGAATCATGTACAATTCTTCAACTCTTTTCATTTTTAGAGCGAAGACAAGACTGCTCGAAAGCTAGACTGGAATCTAGAAGGTTGCTTTAAGGCTCTTGAGAAGATCAGTGAAAGGGATTATTTCCTTACAAAGACCAAGGATACGTTGAAGATATTCCTGGAGAAACCAATGAAAACTAGTAAAGCTAAGATGATGGACCCATTCCAGGATGCCAAAGCGTCCCTCAAAACAGTTCTTGATCGGTTACAGACTACGTAACTCTTATGAGGAGTATGGCCATATATATATTTTTTTTTTTTAATAATGCATCAATACTAAATACATCTATTTATTTATAATTAAATTTTTGTAAAAATCGCCGCTGTGGTTAAAATCATATTGAGGACATTTTATACCGACATTGGTGATTCAATAAAATGTTAAAACAAATGTATATTTTTTAACTTTCCAAAAGAATATATTCCGTGTCTTCCTTCATAATCCCATAATTTACAAAATGCATTTAGGCGTAACGTTGACATTGAAGATTGCTGAAAATAAAAACTTTATTGTTCTTATGTCCGTGCTCGCAGCACTAACTTCCACGGAATCGACGCAATCGGCTTTAGAACTACTTTAATTTACTGAATTTTAGAGCATAATTGTATATCCATCATGAGTCCTACGTTTTCTTGACATGGTTGTGATTTTAAATCCGCACGACTCAAAATAAATTGAAGATTCTGTCAGTTGACAAAAGGTTTTGATTGTACGGGATACATATCGTCGTGTTTTGAACATACTCAAAAGAGACGACAAGATTAATAAAGATATTGTAGAAGTCTTGAATCAAAACGACAGACAATTTGTAGTTCCGATAATTTTGCAAATTAGAAACAAATTGTTGTTTTATAAAAGTTAAGCATCTGCTTCGAGAATGTAATGAAATTTTTACTAAGTTTCCTTCAGGATCGATAGTTTTGTAGGATTCCAACCAGGACGATAATATTCCACTGGCAATGGAGTGCAATGTGTGGATTGGTGATCTTGCAGATACTTAAGTGCCTAAAACAAAAATTGATAAATTACTTTATCTGTCTTAAAATTTAATAAAAAATTTGACATTAATATTTTCAACTTTGCATATACCAGAACAATAGCAAGCTGCTGTCTTTCAGCAACAGTACAATCTTCACCCAATGTGGAAGGATAGCTCACTACCCAATTATTTTTTATCATATGTTTAGTCACAAGTTCTAGAAAACGTTCCTCCGAAGCTCCCACTTCCGCCATTATTGATACTAAAGAAACAAATATATTATTCACCATTAATTATTGTACACCGAGAATAACTTACTTCTTGCTTGTTCCGTTTGGGCGCATAACAGTTTTAGGACGAGTTTAACGTTTTCTGCTGCGTCCCTAAATACGTGAGGATAACGTCGGACGAGAAGTTTTATCAATAAATGATTGCCTCTATTTCCAGATAAACTACACTCGCTCATCTCGTTGGTCCCTTCAATGGGAACTGGCGTACAGATCATTTCATCCTCAGTCCTTCTCACAATTAAGACAGGTCCATTATACCTTTAGATAGAAGAAATATTCCATAGATAATAAATCTGAACATCCATTGTCATATTATTCACTAATGTATGATAATGTTAGACCTATTTTGTTATTATTATTATAATTGATTATAGCTCAACCCTTAGGATCTTTGGCTACCTATTTAATTGCTCGGCTACGTTTAGATTGAGGTACTCTCTGACAGTAGTGCGCACAAGACCCTCGAGGCGTGCGGGCATCTTTGTTATGGCCAGAGGCAGAATGTCGTCGAAGGTTGCATCCAGAACCTGGAAACAAGTAAAAATTTTTAATTGAATTAAAATACATTTCATAAAGCAATAATGTTTTAATATAATTACTAAGTTTTGGATGGATGGATAGTTCATGGCTGCCCAGGTAGCCGTGTATCCACCAATGCTCCATCCGAATAAGATAATCTTATCTTCTGAAAACCCTAAACGATTTATAGCAAACTGCATCACACAGTCGATTGCGTTTTCCTCTTGTAACGGATATGGAGTGCCCTGCGTTATTATTTAATAAATGAATAAATTTGACAGAAATATTAATTTTTCGAAAACATTTATCTTACTGTACTGCCACCAAATCCTGGATGATTCCATCCCAGAACAGAGTGTCCTTTGGCCAAAGGAGTTGACATGATTCCTATCTCATAAAATCCACAGTTGCCCTCGCAAGTTATGGTTAAGACGTCACCGCAATTGGTTCTGATAATAAGTAATAAAGTTAAGAACTTAAGTTACAAATTATGGTAATCTAATATCTTACTTGTTGCGTTTGTCGACGAACATTGTATCAATCACATTATTATCAGCGGTTAGTAATTTATATCTTTCTCCTCCATTTTTCATCAAATTTGTTCGACCTTGTAGTAAGGGTTGATGCATTGCCCAAATAACTAATGTCACACAGCCTGGATACATAATCTTTATGGCAAAAGTGTGTGCTATCACGTACGCAGCAAGTCTGCAGGGAAGAGCAAGTATTATATCTTTGCTTCCATGTTGTCTGCTTCTTCCCTTTGATCCAGATTTAACAATACTTTCTAGAGAAATTCTCTGACGATTTTCATTCCTGGTTGTTAAATGTAATCTTGTAAATTCATAGACTTCTTTATAACAATCAATATTGCTGAAGAAGTATCACTTACCCATGTACATCAGAGACTCGAAAGTCAACAGGCCATGCCCAAAATTCAAAATCAAAATTATGCAATTCCTGACGAGTCTCATGACTAACACAAGCTTTTGCTTTGTTTAAAGTATTTATGAATTCCAAATAAACGGGGTTAACGGCTCTAGAATAACTACGAGCAATCAAAGAGGCTATTAGAATAGCTCCTGCTATTGCTTGCAGTTTTAGTACGGAATAAAGATGTATGTGCCAATGTTCCGATAAAGGGTAAACCTTCTGGTACATAAATATGGCAACAAATGGAATGGCATATATGCTGATGGACCACATTGTGGCAAACTGGAACAATGTCAAGCTTGTTGTGATCTTACAATAAAATAAAGTGATAAATGTTTTTATTAGAAATTGCATATAACTGCCGTTTGATAGACACAGAGGTAGAGTAATACTCACACAAATGACAATTCGATCTCCCCATCGTTCCAGACTGTCTGGATTATACGGTTTCTGTATCAAAATAAAAAAATATTTAACCTCCAAAGAAAATCTGACATTATGTATATAAGGGAGTTGTATACCCACGTCCACAGGACGACCCCACCAGGAAATCTTGTAAATCTTGAAGAGACGCGGGCTAAAAGTGCATTGCCAAAGTGTTCGAATAAATGACATTTTTCATAAGGTTCCTCTGGAATTCTTTTATGATGTCGAATTACTTGATGGTATCGAGAGACAACCAACAGTAACACGCCATCATGCTAGAACTTGATCACGCGTAAAGCTTGTTTCCGACAGTCGTAATAATTATCCTTTTTTATGTAGGTAATCGATTGTACCTGGTCTATTTTGAGTTCAACAAAATAAATGTGACACTATTAAATACAAGGTTGGAATAAGATGAAAATATACGTTAAGGGCTGAATTATTCGCGAATAAAAAAGTAATGGATTTAGTGCGTATAGAATTTATTATAAGAAAATTTATTCCGATTAAACAGCTGTTTTTACAAACGGTAGAAATTTGACTAATCTGATATTTACTTATAGTGATCTACATTCTTTGTGATTAATAATAATTTTAATATCATAAGTAAAATGAACAATTCTACCATGAAATCTTGCCCAAGAAAAAATTCTTCTGAAGGACCCAAAATGAAGAAAAAGATGAGGTATGTTATTTATTTGGAAATCAATTATCATATAATTTAATAAAATTAATGGTAAGCATATATGATGTATAGTAAAGCACAAATGCAGTTGGCTTTAATTAAGAAGAAGCAATGTGATGCCAAGGCCTTAATGATCGTTGAACGTCTCCTGGAACCTAATGTAGATTCAGGATGGTTACTCCAAAATGTATGTTGACAGTAAGATTCTGTTTATTTGATTCTCAAATAAATTTTCACATTTTCTGCAAATTTCAACTGTTTAATTTCAGTTGGGGAGCATAAACCGTTGTCATATGGAGGATGCAATTGAGGAAAGAGCCATTGTTAAACAGTGTGGATATGTCCTGTGTGATAATTCTATAACTGTAGTAATTAATCAACGTTATCATATTTCTACTAAAAGCAATAAAATATATGATGTGAGCAAGCGCAAAAATTTCTGCAGCTCTCGTTGTTATGGTGCTGCGAACTACCTTTTGGAACAGTTATTGACCAGTCCTCTTTGGCTCAGAGAAATTGAACAAATTCCAAAGTTCCAGCTCTTACCATTGAATCATGATATATGTAAAGGTGTTCCCGGAGAAATAGTTGATTTGGGAATCATAAATCTTGAAATTGAAACTGATAAAGAATCTAACATAGCACCCACAGCAGAGATAGAAACTAAACTTGATAAATCTAATAGTAAGGAGAAGCAAAGTGAATCTTGCAAAAGTTCTGTAAATGCAAATGATACTATATTTGAAACAAGAAGTTCCATTGACTTGTCAAAAGAGAATTTTGATGTTTTAACAATAATGTCTAACATCAATGAAAAGGCAGAGGAAATGAGACATGATACAGTGGATGAAGATAACACTTCAATATTTTCTCAAAATAAGGATAATTATTTACCAGAATCGATTAAAGGTGAAATGAAAATAATAAATGCTGTAGAAAATATGAAAACTGAAGGGACTCTTGCTTCTAGTATTGATTCAAATATAATAAGTATAAACGAAAATTATTTGGAAACTGATGAAGATCAATGTGAAAGGTCATCAGTATCACAGGAAATAATAAACTCAGACATTTTGACGTTTGACGGACCACCTATTTCAGAATCTGTCAACTTTGAAAAATTTCATATAGGAAAACATGTAGAACGAAATCCTGATGATCAACTTAGCGGCAAAAAGTCAATGAAAAAAATAAAAAATGATTTGAGGACAACTGAAGTCAGTTTCGAAATGTTGTTAAAACGCGTGGAAAATCGTTTTAAAGAATGGATCACTGGAGATACTCTGTGTTTACTCTTAGGAGAAGAGGCTGTGAGGCAACAAACAATGAATAAAATAGAGCGACAAGAGAAATACACAGTATTGTGTAAAAAATTAAATCGCATACAACTTGAAGAAGAAAGAGAAGATAAGCAAGTATTGGAAAAAGCAGCTTCATTGAAGCCACTTCCCCATTTTTCTGAGCTGCAGAAGGAAGGAAGGAAAATGCAACTGAAGGTGTGAAAATTGCTAAGAATTATCAATATATATTTATTAACAAAGATGCCCTGTGTTATTACATCTTTCATTATACAGGTGCGAGCATTCATTGAGGGTCGCACAGTAATAGAAATCCCTGAAAAAACAACTGAAACAACATCTGATAGGATTATCGAGGAGGAATCAACTCCTGTGCTACCTTTATTGGATGTTCACGCGCCAAGTGCTCTCAGAAGACGTATTTTATTGGATAAACTCAACAGGATGTAATTCTTTGGTTATATACTTCAACTCACAAATATTCGAATAATACAACTTTTTGTAATTCATTTTAGATTACCAGATTTGTTACGGGCTTTAGCTGGCAGTGATATTTATTTGACAGAACAGTATGCAAATAGCAGCGAAAGAAGTGCAACAGTAAAGGCACTTGTAAATACATTTTCTCTGTCAGCATCGAATATAGTGTTCAAAACCATAGAATGGACTCTCGTCGGTTTGATTTTCATTAAACTGTAAGTACCAAATAATTTCAAGCCAATAGATTATAATGTATATAAATTAATCTGTTTTTTAGATTAAGCCTGATAGACTCGCGAATAAAATTCTTACTGTCGACTGAGCAGGCATCCATGTACACATCCATGATTTTAATGTCCTATAAGTTGGAACCTTTTTACTTGGACAGACTAGTAGCGAGGTTAACAAATACTTCTGAATCCTCCATCACAGTGGACGAAGTGAAAATGTAAAGAAAGTGCTTTAATTGTATACATTTAATTAATAAAAAAAATACGATCGCGCTGAGAAATCTTATGAAAAACATTCGTGTTTTTTCGTTTCCGCAATAATTTGAAAAATCACAGACACTTAAGAAAGCTGCGGCTCATACTCCTCCTCATGTAAAATGATCGGAAATTCATTACAAGGAATGTATTGTTTATAATCCACGATGATTTACAGCGGCCCCGATCCTGGAATACTCCCGGGAACACCCGTCAGTGGTGAACTAGGACATTCCAACACCATCGTATCCATTTGTGCAGCCGACGTGGATTGTTCTTCCAATGTTCTGTTGCCCATTTTCTCTCGCAGGGATTCGTAGAGACTATGTACAGCTTCATTGTGCTGGAGAGATTAATCAACACAGTAAAAATGATGCTGCTCCATATATTTACAATGAAATCTTAACGAGAATTTCAACCGAAATTACCTGGCTAGTCGGTTGCAGTGCTTTGAGCAAAGAGTGTTGCCTGGCAGGAGGTAATTTTGGATGAATGTACCAAAGTAACTTTAGTAAATGTCGCGTTACGTTATCCCTGCCCAATCCTGCCAGAAAGAACTCATCGAAGATGACCGTGCAGAAAGATTCATTAGAAAACTCATCTGCCATGTTCAGAATTAATAGCGAGACCTACAGACGATAGATTGAATATTAGACTTGGAAACTTTTCTATTAATGTTTTATACTTTAAAGTCTCGTACCAGGGTGTGTAAGAAAGGATCCTCAAAGGCTCGTTGTGCCTGACAATTAGGTAGAGTTGCAAGAACTCTCATGAGTCCTCTGGCATCTCCTCTTCCTCTACCTGCTCCGCCCCCACCACCAACGTGCAGAGCATAGTACATTGATAAAACAGCAGCAACACCTGAGAGTTGCGCATAGGCCTGACAAGCATCCGGCGGAGGACCAGAGTGTTCTATAATGGCTATTGCACTCTCTCTCTCATCCGGTGGAAGTCTACAATTCAGTTGGCGTATTTGATCGTCTACCTGTTCAATAATTTTATAATCACAACCATTGTACGATTGTTAGTCATAATTTCGAATAGTTGACATATAAAATTACTCGCCATGAGAGACATTAGGGCCGGTAAAAATTTCGTCACAACTTGACTGTCCAATTTTGGCTCTTTAAAATCCTGAGAGTCTATCATCTGCCAAGCTGATAAACCCAGTGCCAGCATCCGCAGGAGCAGTACAAGCACTGCATTTTCTCTGGGGAGGGCTTCCCCATTTATCAAGTGTAGTGCTATCTTAATTGCACTGCTAGCCAGAAAATTCACTGCATAAGGATCGCACAATGTCATACTTAAATCCCCTAAAACTTGCTCCTGACCTCTCTGAAATGTATCAGGAATTATTTCTAAATCTTGTTAAAATATTGAATTAATGGCATACCTTAATACTGTCTAGAAAACCTTGTAATTCGCGTGACCTTTTGATGTCTACGTTTTTCTCCCTGATACATGCATCAAGACACCATGTAAATTTGTGGCAGGGATCAACAGAAATTATATCTTGTACCTGCGTAAAAATAATTTGATAAAATTTGTCTGCATGAGTTTGAAATTGTAATAGCTTTCATATACCTCTAGATCGTGTAATGCCATTAACAACTCTGCTCTTAATGTGCAGTAATGAATATTTTTGGTTCGTAGAAAAAGAGTTCTTAGGAACTGTAATACCATATCATAGAGTTTTACACTGTGACCAATCATATGGGCAAGCTTCTGAACAACTTCTCCTTGTCTTCGTACCTACAGATTGTAAAAGATACATCCAGAAGCTCTTTAATTCATAATTATAATGTAGATTGAGACATACCTTTGGTGATGGTGTAAAAAATAGGCTGTTAAGATTACAATGATCAAACAGGACTTGCTCTTTCTCAATAATATAACGACTGAATAAAGGAGATACTTCATCTCCAAAAAGACTCTGATTATCTTTCCAAATCTGTCTTTTAACTTCAGTATCAGCATCATTGTACAGTTCTTTTTCTCGCACTAGGACTCGCAAGTATTTATCCTCGATATGTGGTGTATTTCTCAAAATGCACATAACAACTGGCCTCAGAGCAGATACTCTCACAGCAGGAAAACTTTTAGACAATAATTCCTTAAGCCTTCTATCTCCACTGATTCCTTTCTCTCCTCTTTCAGCTCCTATTTCATTTATTCTTCGTACTAATTTTTCCCTCAATTCTTCCAGAACTGATGCATGAAAATCCAATCTCCTAACACCATGCAAGTCAAGTAATGGTAGCATAGGCCGCAAGGATGGTAGTAAAATACCATTTTCTAACTGCAAGATTATCCCAAAATACGTTAACATTTTATAATTATAGATATTTATAAATATGAATATAATTACTTGAAATTCTTCTATAGCTTTTAAAGGATCTGTACAGCTTGTTAGAGCATCTCTAAGGAAGACCTGACCAGGTATTCCAAGATCTTCCAGACCATCTCCAGTTCCACTATTACTCTTTCCAGTACTCATTTTTCCAATTATATAAATTTGTCCATCAATTCAATAATATTATCTCTTATAACTATTCTCGACCATATATAATTAAGGAAACAACACATAGCATAACCACACAATCTTAAAAACTCCCATATTGTGCTATACCATCTCTGGCTATACCGTTCCCATTGGTTAAAAAGATATTTATCGTCTATACAATTATAACAAGATGGCGCCACCTTCGACTGTCACCGATTATGTCCCAGAGGATGATGTTGCCAGATGTTTCAATTGCCATTTGACGAATTTCGTCACATCCAGTCACATTGTAAATTTTTCATTAGCTCGTTGATTTTCATTGAGAATATTTTTCATTCACAAGGGATTTAGATAATACGGAAACGTGGTGAACATCTGTTTAATATTTACAAAGGTTTGACAGATCATAGATTTTGAAGCGAGTTCTCAAAAAACAAGGAAGCACAAGAGAGAACGAAAAATTTATAGGATATCGTGAAAATATTAATAAATTTTTGTTGATTCACATTGATAGATTACGCTCGCGTTTAAATGTCTACGCGGTACATGAAAAAGGTGTATGGAGGTGATGTAGGCCTTGAGAATAATAATGAAAATTTGAGTGATACAGAAATTCCAATAACTGGTGTCAAGCCTAAACAGTTCAATGTCTTTGATTTAGTAAGTTAATAATAACTTATACTACTTAAGTATTTGCTATTATTTGCTTTTATTTTATTAATTATTTGTACCATATTGTTGCTTGGTATAACAGGTTATATTAGAGTTATGTTGTCATAAGAAATTTTTTGTATAGCTCAATCAAAATTCAGAGAATGAAGCTAAGGATGATGACGATGAAGGGGAGTCAGAGAACCCAGTTATTGATACTACAGTCTCAGAAGTCAGTAAACGGAAGAAGAAGAAGAAGAAGAAGCATAAGAAACTTGATAGCTCAAGAGTTCAGCAGAGCTCACGGCGTAGTTCGGAGAACAATGAGGAGGTAGATGAAATTGAAAGAACTGTTAGGGAAGTAAACAAACTTCTAGGAGAGCCAACACCAGGCTGTAGTCAAGACATTGTAGTGAATGAATTAGCAATGGTACCAAAAGCCAAAGAAAATACTCTTACCATTCAGCATAAACATTTAAATACTTTCAATGAGCTCAAACGAATATTTGGAACCAAGACGATTCAGGCTGAGCAAAGGTATTATTGAATTCCTGTATTAGTGCATGTACAAAGTTTAAAAAGTTTGGTGCATATTTTGTTTAAATCCTTTTTATAGTAAAAGAAGAGACAGGGACAGAGTTGGACATTTGAAAAAAACATGGTTAATCTCCGCACGACATAATTGGCCTCCTATTGGAAAATCAGGCATTTCAATGAGCATTGATCAGTCGATTGAGTACAAAGGCAATGTTCAATATTTTGTGTTTGAGCATAATTCAACATATATACATATTCAGAAGAAGTTTCTTCAAGTTGTGGAAAGCATGGATCCACAGAATATCATTGTAGTGTATACACCAAAACATATTGTACCTCTCCCATCGAGACTGTTGCAAGTATAAGTTTTAAATTTCAGAAAATAGTAAATGCACATCCCTACCACGTAGATGGGTTATTGCAATTGTCTGAACTCTGTAAGATGAGCGAAGACTTGGCAATGGCGGCCGAACTTGTTGAGCGAGCTTTGTATTCCTTGGAGTGTGCGTTTCATCCGCTATTTAACATCACAACTGCAACTTGCAGACTTGATTACAAAAAGCAACAGAATCGTGCATTTTTCATAACATTATTCAAGCACCTTCTTTTCGTTGGTGGACGAGCATGTTACAGGTATCATATATTGAATATCCAAATTTAAAGTATGCTATAAACTAAATATATTCATGCATATTATAGGACTAGCTTAGAACTTTGTAAGCTGTTGTTATCACTGGACCCCGAGGGTGATCCATTGGCTATCATCCTGGCTCTAGATCTCTATGCTCTGAGAGGAAGGGAATACACGTGGTTTGTAGAATTCTGTGAAACATGGGAAAGCACCAGAAATCTTACACAGCTACCAAACATGGCATATGGATTGGCTTTGTGCCATTTCCACTTAGGAAACAAAGAAGCTGCAGAAGAACTTCTGCAAAATGCTTTAATTATGTTCCCCGGAGTTCTGATTCCATTGCTTGACAAATGTAGTGTCCAAACCGATTCAAGGGTATATTATTTTTTACTGAGTTACTAGATTTTCTACTACGAATATTGGTTAATGTTCCATTCAAATGACATATTGCAGGTACTAGGCCATGACTTCTTTAACAGCAAAGCTGCGGCAACAACGCCACCAGCTTTGGAGAAGCTTCAAACTCTCTATGTGTATCGCAGCTACCACTTGTGGAAGGAAACTGATATTTTGTCATGGTTGGAGGCTCAGGTTCATATTGTCTTAAATCGTGTCGATTCTGAAGATGATTATGTTAAATACTGTACGGCTAAACGTAGCAAGCGTTATCAAGGAAAATTACCGATGAATATCGCAAGACATATTATATTATCCGATATAAAGGAAGTCACTTTTAATGTCCAAGAGGTAAGTTACTCTACGTATTTCCAACTATTTCTATTTAAAAACAAGATCCTAAATAATCATGCTTTTTTAATGAAAATTATGTAGATGCAGAACGGGGGTTCCATATTATCTCATGATCCATTACCACCAACTGATTCGATTGATCTTTATTCACGCCCTACACCTCCGCCAAGAACGAATCATAATAATTCGAATTTGTTTTCCTTATTCTTTTCTTCGCTTTTTATGGACCTCGACGGTGACGTTGCGATTGCTGCTGCCAATGGATTCAACTTATTGTAAGTTGAAAAGTCATGAATGTTAAATGAACATAGCTGTTAACTTGTGTGATTTTGTTATAGCGATGAAAATGCACGCAATGATGATCATGATTAAGGTTTTTCTAAAATTCCGAAGAATCCTCAAATACTGATATCCAATTAATTGTAGAAGCAATCACAAAGAAGGAAGCTCATCGAAAGTTAAGAAATGTAACATTTAATAAGTATGAGGTGAAAGTAAAATTATGTTACACTATTGTAGTGCCACTTTAAAAAAAAACTCGACACAGAACGATCATTATTTTCCTTGTTGGAACGACCGCAAACTTTGTGATTAATATTATACTTGACGAAGTAAAATTGTAACTATTATCCCGAATGGAAGCTATTGTAATAAAAGGAAGCATAATACCGTTTGTACATAAGTTGAAAACCCGAAGGCACGTGGTTATTTTTTTGTAAAATATTCCGTGTAACGATGTAGCTAAAAATATAGTATCGTTTCCATTGAGCTTCGGTGTATAAAACCCTTAATGTACATAAGTCGTTGGTTAATATGCGTCTATATGGACGTAAGAAAATAAAGAAAAGAAATACGTACGAGCAGAATGAAAAAAAAGGATGATCATCGTGAATTATAATTATGAAAAAGCCAATGATGGTCAATAATAAATGTATTAACGTGAATCGGAAGAAATTTAATAAAAGCATATGAAGTATATCTCGTGATAGTCTTCTTTGATATTCTATTTGGTTCTTTCATTTTTTTTTTTCTTCATGTGTATACAATATTAGCTAATAATGAGATTAATTAGCAGTTCCCTTAGAATTTATATCTTTTACGTATCTATGTACACTGGATTGCAGGTAACAAAAGTGAATACGCGATGCCCGATCGCTGCTTTTCAACAAAGACAGTTAGGAGGAACTGTAGGTTATTGTTTTTTGAAGACAGGACTATTTATAAAAAGGAATTCTTATTTTCGTTTTCCTCATTAACATAACTTTAGCAATGTACGCACCTTCTATACAATATCGCCGGATTAAAAGTTCTACAGATTACTTGGCGTTATTATTTATACTCAGTAAGTCGGTATATAGTCAGTATCTAAAACTTTGTTAAATGCGTTATCTGCGTAATCTTTTTTATCCCATTCCTTTCTATTGTTAATCATCAACTGGCATAAAATTGTAATTTTTTTTAGTTCTTTTGCTCTTGTTCTCTTCAAATTACTTTTATAATTCAAGACATATTGCCATCTATAGTCGGTCCACGAGTTGAATGTGATTATTTGACAGTTCGCAAACAACGCAACTCTTAGGAAATCACAAGTAGCTATGCATATGCATAGTTTGTGACAAAAAATTTATTCAAAACCATGTATGGTTTGCTAGAGCTTCATTGATTTCGATCTTTAAAAAAAACACATTGTACTGATGGACAACTATATTCATATTGATTTTCTTGAACATTTAATTTGCACTTAACACTCGTTTCGGGTGATAGCCTTACTTGCGACTTGATAAAAATTTTAATAATTAAATAAATTACGCTAAAATTTCGATGAAAATTTTGAGGTGGCTGACCGATAAAAAAAGTTGAGATAGAAAATAAAATAAAAGAGAATCCAATTAAACACCGGCGTGTACATTTTGAATTTCGAGGTACGTTGAACTCTTCCCCTTCTTTGATTTTCATAATAATTCAATGTACATGCCCATTCGATTTTATAATATACCCCGGAATATAGGATTGTAACGGCAAATTCCAGGGCCGTATTCTTGATAAGTAGCTTTGGTGTGACAAACTTCATAAAAGGCTGGTTCATCTGCTAATAAAGCACCACCGACCCAGACCGCGGAACGTTGCTTGTAGTGGGATACTACCTGAACATCTATAGGTTTTGGCTGAAGCAAAAAAAATATATAAATTTTGTATCATTAAATAATGGTATCGATACTCCTTTTTCAATTTGAAAACATACCGTAATGTGACCACCGCTTAATTTTTCACTAAGTTTTAATCTGGCATCGACGGTTTTCTTAATATCACGTTGCAATCGTTTGCCAAAATCCTTGAACATCGTGGAACCACCGGACAAAACAATATTATTGTATAACGGCCTCCTTACGTCTATAGGGCAGTTTTGAATAACGTCGTCCACGATCTGGCTGAGAGGCGTCGTGAAGTCTGGATTGGAAAACTGGAAGATTTCATGAAATTAGTAGATTAATTTAAAGTAGCGGAGTTAAAATAAAGAAAGACAGCTTACTTCAGGATGGAAGAATATTTCTGGTCCAAGGAATCTTTCATATCCAACGTCTACTGTAAAAGGCTGTTTAGTAATACTGTTAATGCCCTCGTACTTTTTGATGTATTTACTAGGATCACTATCGTACTTTGCAAATTCCTTGGCGATGTTAGGACAAATATAACAGTATTTTTCTTTGATAGCCTTTGCTGTTTCTAAAGACTGTTCTGGTGGAATTCCAATTTCACGTTCTCTCAAAAGACTTTGAATAAAGTATGTTATATCTCGTCCAGCGATTGGAATGTGCTTTATGCAACTGCCTATGACATAACCATCGGCCTAGATACAGAAAGCAATAAAATGGTGTCTATAAATCTATAAGAATTTAGTTAGATTATTTTTTTTGAACTTTCAATTACCATTGGAATAACATGTGTTACGCCATCGCCACTATCTATGACAATGCCGGTTAACGGTCGATCATCGACGTGTTTTGTTATCCAAGAAGCAGCCATTGCTAGAACTGCTTGTACAGCAATATATAATCCTGGCACGTTAAAAGATTCAAACATAATTTCAGCAATGTATTCCCGATTCTCTGGTGTGTTTAATGGAGGCTCAGTTAACAAGAAATAATGATCTTCTGGATTAACTCTAAGGTACTTAAAGATGCATTGCTGAAGGAATCGTTCCATCAAGTCCCAGTCCTCTACCAAACCATGTCTTACTGGATACTATAGATACAAATTGAATAATTTAAGAAAAAGTATGAATTTTCATTTTCCATCGTACCAATATATCAGAGCCAGTATAGTTACTTTGACAGCATATCCTGTAGCATCAAATGCTTCATAACCAATATAAAAATCTAAATCTTCTACACCCTTGGTAATCCTTCTGGCAGAATTATCTCCAATTTTGGCAGTCTCCTTAATAGCAATTGCTGAGGGTATTGTAAGTTGGGGATCCATGTTTCCTGCGAAACCCAGCTTGGTATACCTGGATAGAATCAAAACATTTTAAAATCCATGATCAAAAATGAGGTACTAATTTTTCTCATTGCACAGAAAAATGGTGTTATCTAAGCTAACAAATCTCCATATAGTCCATATATTTGGATCTGACTCCCTGGAAACATTTTATTGAGCAGGGGACGTACAGAGTAATGAGAAATTTCATCTTAGGGCGTATACCGTGAGCAAACTGTCAAGTCTGCTGTGGTTAGTCACTTCCTTAGCCTAATCGCTCCCGTTGAATAAAGAATATTCGTAGATCCTCTCAAGCCTTACCCAGTGCCCACATCGATAACACACGCGGGAAGATGCCCAAGCGGCATTTTACGTCGACTATTAGTTTGTTCACTCGCTCGAGATGACATTTTCTTTGTGGAAAAATAAGTACTCGAAATACTTCTCCCGCAAATACCACACCTCACACACGACCACAATCAAAGCACGACCACGGCGCCACCACCTTCAATCCAACGGCTTATCTCGACAGCTCTTCGTCAGGTCCATACTTCATGCCAGGAAATAGGGAGCTAACTTCAGACTTTATGCTAAAGTTGCTCCCAATTTTAACACATAGTTAATAGTGCCGAGTTTTGCCATTCGTAGAGCATATGTTCCTCAATTCGTGATTCGTTAGCAGCAAGTACTGAGGGGTGTGGGAGATAGAAATCAGCTGTTTATCTCTATACATTTCGGGCGGTTAAAGATACCGCTTTTCTTTCTGAAAAGTTCAAAAAAAGATAAAACGAGCCATAAAATACGCTCGTAAATTTCACTAATTTTCAGAAATGTATCTGAAGTCCGTGATGTTTCATAAAGAATTTTGAACGCTACGGCAGCAGGGCTTGTCGAGAAGAGATTTAGGTTTGTTAAAATAAGAGTCAACAGAAAACGATGATGCGTAGTAGTCATTAGCCAGGACTGATATAAAGGAAGAAAAGCGGAAAAAGAAAAGCCAAAATATATTAGTGGGTTATTTTTTAGTGCTATAAAGCAATGCAATAGGTTCGTGAAAAATGTTATGGTCCAGTGTCTCGCTGTTATGTGCAAGGTACAAACGAGTAGAATACCAGCCAGTACGATCCGAGGTGATATTGTAAAGTGACGTTATAACTCCCGTGAGAGCAGAGTTTGAGATAGGAATCCTTCTTCTTGTACTGTAATGAGAAGTTAATGTTTCCCAGTCAAATTTACATTTAAAATCAATTAACCTTTCTTAACGCAAGCTTTCTGTTCGTCCTACGAACGGATATTTTGCGGGTATTTAATATTGCATTTAAGGGAAAAGACGAGAGATTGATTATATAGAATGGAGTAGAATAAAGGAAGTTTATTGCTTTTGTAATCTTATGTGTATTTCTTATGATTCTCTGCTCGCATGTTGATGGCACGTTTACCGGCTAAAGATACCTTGACACGTAACGATATAGATGGCGAAGTGTATGACTACTTTTATCCGGCTTTAAGTATAAAAATATAGAATACGAGGTACTTTACTGGCTACGATATTACGAAATAAAATTTCTTCTTTCAATAAAACTTATCACTTCTTACATTTTTGCCTTGTATGAGAATACTTGCATGATTTAAGTGACGTCATGGATATTATTACTCTACTTTGATTCAGGCTCTCAACGAAAGATCTGAAGTCTTCCTGAAAATTATTTCCAGTCAATTACTTTTTTCTTTCTTTTTCTCAAGGTAGGGATACAAGGAAATGTACCTTTAATAACCTTCTAATTTCTTCTGATATTTCTTAATTTGTATGTACTTTTTTTCTCTTGTTGCAACGATCAAGGCCCGTATTCTCAAATCTGTCCTAATGATTCTTGCGTGCGATTCTCGATTTGAAAAGCATTGGCAGGGGTCGTATGCGATATTCACAAGGATGGATCGAGAATTCAGGTCCTGATATTCGTATCGAGCATATCAATCATCCTTTTATCTATCACTGATCTATTTCAGTCGGTACTGACGAGTATCAAAAGTTTAAAATTCCTCCCGGTTTTTCGATGCGGTGACAGCGTCGTGCACTACTTTTGAGTCTTCTGTGTCACTTATGTATCCTTGTTCTCCAGTATAGTGCGTCGGGTAGATCAAGAGCGGTGCCGCAGAGAGCGCTACCAGGTCCCGTTCCAGAAAATGTTTCTTCCAGGCAACTCTACACAGAAAAGCAAAAATAATCTTACGAAATATACAATCTGCATTCTTTCAAATAATTTCTTTTAGACCGTACCTGGGATGTTTGTCGAAAAGGATTGGTAAGTATTCATCGACCGGTACCATCGACTCCAAAGGTTTGGCTTTTAATAGTTTTTCAGAACCACTCTTTGATAACATATAACCTACAGTCCAATAACTGTATCCAGCATAGACTAAATACTGCGAACCTTCAACCAGGGGTTCCTCTTGTTCCTGCATCCGTTTTCTTCCCAAGTACCTTGAAGGATTATGATATAAGATAAAAATATAAGGGTTTTTGATCATCTAACAATGTAGTACAGAACTTCGTGTACATGAATATAATAAGCGGATCAGGTAGGATGAGTTTTAAACAAATTTTCCTTGAGATAATACGAAAGTGGGTGGATTTTGGTTCAGAGAGTGTAGAAGAATAAATCAATGAGAATACGGAATGGAAATCTTGACAATTCCACTTTCTTAAGGAGAATCAATTTAATTAGTGCCATTTCCCGATCTCCTTATGTTTCTAGCAATTTAATCAATCTAATGTTAGATTTATAATAGATGAACCTAAGTTCTCTCTTGTTAAAGCCATAACGCAGCTTTATATGAACGTTATGGCAGTAGCATCCTTAATTAGGCCATTATCCTTTGATCAAATGTTTGCCTTGGAAACTTGAAATTAGCTGGTGGACCTTGGGCGTGGTATAATTAATGATGCTCTAATGAATTCGTAACTAGTACGAGGACGAAGGAGAGGAGCTGGGAAGAAGAAAAAGGTTTCGTAATCGATTTGAAGAATTTTAAAAAGTTTTTGTCCCACTGCTTTCATGTACGCATAATGAAGTTCAGGTCATACCATCTGATCCGGCTATTTTGCAGAGAGTTAATTTCACCTTCAAAAATCAATGAAAAAATATTCATATTGGTACGTTTAGTCTTCAGTGTATCATTGAGATAAACAAATCATTATTTTGTTAAATAATTACAGCAAAATTGTAGTCGTTATCACGCAAAGTCTGTTTTTTTTCCAGTTAATTCGCTGATAGATCATACACAAATATTTCATTGATATTTTTAGTACACCCTGTACATTGACTAAATTAAAAAAATAACATGATATAAATTTACTTACACCAAATCCCAGGAAATATTCAATCGATCCAATTCGTTTAAGATGAAATTGACTTTCTGTCGAAAATATGGTTCAAATCGTACGTCGTCTTCGAGAATCATTATTTTCTCATATCTATTTTCGATCATCTGTAAATCATTTATTTTTTTTAATCATATCAGTAGTATAACAAGGGGGGTTCTGGACTCAAGATTCCTAGATCCTCGTGAAGTCACTCCTTGAAATCGGGGGGCGGGGGGGGGGTGTTTGACGTCCACGACGTCAATCCACAGCATGGATGCGAACCTTCGAAGGCTCTTGAAGTGTCTACAAATGTCAGTGCAGGAATCCGTGTCCAGAGCTTCCCTTGTTATACTACATACATGCTAAAGTAATAACATCATAACAGCTGTTACACGTGAAAAAGAATTGTACCTTATTCCAGACGATATAGTGACTCAGGAAGCAGCCAATCTCGCCCATGGTCATGGGTCTATCGGTCAAAAATATTAAGACAGTATTATTAACAAATGACAAAAATTACGTGTCCACGTGTATACACATATGTAAATACGAAGGTTCCATGCTTGGAAAATTTTTCGATAGATTATTAGAATCTTGTGTCGACATGCAACAGCAGGCCTTCTGGATTCTGGCTAATATTAAGCCGTTAAGTCATACCAGTGACTGCGTGTCGGTAGTCGTAAAGGTTTCATGTAAATTATTTGCCGAGCTTAATATTTGACGACATCTGACGTCAGAATGTATCAACGAGTTTTGAGTTTGCGTCTTCCAAGCAATAACTGGTGACGACTTCTATATTTAAAAACGCAGCCCTACCTTAACGATTTATTCGATTAGATATACCTACGTATATACACGTTAATATTTCATTTGCGTAATACCTGAGAATTATCATTGAAAAATGGCACGTATACGTTTACAGTATATACGTATTACTTTTAATATTATTTTTCTGTTTATCTTATTATAGGTGTCTCGGTTACCTTTTGTGATAAGGGTCTGCATACTCAGGCATCATTTTCACACCCCATTCGAGCAATGACGTCTCGTTGAGTGTTCTGAAAACATAAAAAAATTGTTTAATTAGATCAAGATCTCTCCTTATCAGGAATCTATAGCGAAACTTTCCAATTCTAATTTCATTCCTGTCACAAAGATATCCGATTAAGTTTTGAACCCTAAAGTGCCAGGGTGTCAAATCCAGGTAAACTTCATTAAGGCTTCTGGCCGGCTGAAATAAATTTACTGCTTGTAGCGGTATGGCAGATATTGACAGCTGTCAAACAAACAGAAATGTATGGGTGGAGGGAGTTTCAGTTACATTAGCGAGGATTGATAAGAGATGATGAAGGTTAATAATTTAATTTATCGATAACGAAAATTCAATTAATTACGGATGAGAAAGGAGGCTGACAGACTGATTTATAAAAAGATGGGAAAATGTGAGTAGAAGTAGGGTATTTACGAAGTTTCGTGAACCTTTCAAGAATTTAATTGTCTTGTCTCAACTAAACCGCATCTTAAAATTGATCGCGAGATTTCATTGGGGATGCTGCGCATCCAAGGGTCATCATTATCATGAATCACGCAGTTAATCCCAGAGCTTTTACGTACTACCTCTGGAAGCCGTTTCCATTTATTTTTGTCAACCTTCTCAATGATGTTTTTCAGTTTAAAAGGAGCAGCACGTGCTCCCTTGGTTACGTGATAAGTTTTTTATCCTTAGGATAACAATATATCTGCGACGGAACGTCGCTCACAGATATTTATTTCAAACGATTCAGACCTTACGGTTCCATGGGTCTGTATGAATAACTTCATGTATGTATATATATGTATATTGATATTAATTTTAGCAATGCCACGTTTCGCAGATATATCATTGTTTCATTATCGTTAAGACGAAATAGGTATCTCGGCAATTCTCAGACCAAATTTCCCCCTAAAACAATAACCCTTTGTTTTGCTGCGTTTCGAACTTTCTTATCGGTTAGAAATTCACTCGCAGGATTATTCATATCGAAGTGAAAATTATTGGATTGTTTATGGCAAACCGAAGATTATTTTATCGAAAAGGTCAGATCAGGAGACCTTATAATTTTCTCGAATGATTGAATGCGAGTTGTCGTTTTCCTGAAAGGAGACCGTGGGGACATGTCTCCACGTAACCCACTCACTCTCTCTCTCTCTCTCTCTCTCTCTCTCTCTCTCTCTCTCTGTCTCTCTCTCTATGAGCTTTTCTAATTTTTATATCTTAAGTTATCATTACTATAACATATACTCCTGAACGCTACAACTTGATGGCAAAACCATGAAAGATTTTTCATGTTCATAAACGAAATCATAAGAAAAGCATCGGAGAGCCTTAAATTTGATCCAACCTCACTCTCAGCTTTGTCACATTATTCATCTTTCGTCTTTTCATTCCTGTAGGAATGCAATAAAGATTTTGACCTCGATTTTTTTTTTACCTTTCGCCAAGCGAAGCAATGTCCGGAATTTTATCGAATTTGACGTCGTCAAAATCTGACTTGAGGAATTTTGAGGGAAAATGTTACGTCACGAGCGATAAGCAATTATAAATGCCAATTGTCAGAATCAACGAAGTGTTATCAAAATATTTTGATGTATTCGTCAATATTAATGAATCTCACCAGTGGGCCAAATGTGATACACGATGGACAAGAATGATGTAAAAGTAAACTGGAGAATTAAAAAAGAGGGAGAAAGTAGTTCAATTGCTCTTAAGTAATTCCCGTTGGCTGTAAATCGAACTAAAGTACACATATAATAATACATTAAACGTACTGATATACTAGGTGTACTCTATAGATAGTAACAAATTGGTACATTAAGAACGAAATAGCAAGCAGGAGAAAGTCGTACAGTCGGTCCACGAGTACAATGTGTTTTCAATTCGACAGTTTGCTAACAACGCAAATTCTAATCAAATAAAACGTGGCTTCCCATAAAATCACGGGAATATACGATGAAGTAAAAAAAAAAGAAATTATACTTCAATGCAAAGCCATGCATATGCATAACCTTGTAACGAAAATTGTATGCAGAGCCACGTGTGACGGACTTAAATCTTACAGGGTTACAGATACAATATAAACAGTGACCAATTCACAATATAATACAAACCCCGCTAGAGACTTAGTCAAAACAAAGAGCTGCTCTATATTTACGGCAGGGCAGTCAAAACACACATCTTAGACACTAAAATACGTTTTGAAGTTTTCTCAGTGTTGGGCGAAATGGTCGATACGAAGGAGCTTCCCGAATTCTTATCGGTAAAAAGTCCACAAAGATACCGTGAAGAAAGTCAGTAAAACTTTTTCTATGATATATTGATAGAGTAATATCCGAAGGCTCCTACGTGTGAATTACCCAACATAATGGACTCTAATAATACCCACGACTGAATGACAAGGGTAGGCTATGCCGCATTCAGTACCCACGCACTTCATATAGCATAAATTCGAGAAAGTTCGAGCGTCCAGCTCTGTTTACCCTGAGCCACCACCACAGCTATCGAGAGAGTGAGGCGTGACGTGTGTTCGTTACGCTCAACGTCAAGAACAAACTGGGCACAGGAATTTCGTGCTACTTCAATTCTATGAACTATGAACTCGCACAATGGCCATATACAACTATCAAGCAGCAGTAGGCTATCGCTCGAAAGATTAGATAGCTTCAAAACAAGGAGCTTGCGAAGATCTTCTGTGAGTGAAGTCTAATTAATTTTTGGCACATAATGTACGGTTCATCGGTCGAGAGACGTGTTGTGCGTGACTATTGCAAATAAGGGTACTATCCATAAACTGCCCTGAGTTTCGTCTAGTTGAAACGAATATGATGCCTCCCGAGTTTGCACGGAGGCAAGGTAAATGCTCAATCGCGATTATGGGATTCAGAGAGATCGGTAGGGGGTGGAAAAGGGGAGTGGGGAGAGGGGGGGGGGGTAGACTAGACTTTACCAAATTATAAAGAAAATTTGACGCTGTAGGCGAGCACGTTTAATCATTAGTGTCCAGCTCTTTCCGCCCACGTGAGAAATTCAGGCTTATAATATTCGACGAGGATAACTGGCGAGGTTATAGGCCAAGCGGAAATTGACCAGTATAAGAAACAGGAATAAAACTGGGTGATATAACGATGGCAAATCTAGTGACACTTAGAATTAGTCGATCCTATTAAAAGAAAGGGAAAGAGCCGTTAAAGGGCCTTTAGTTAATTCTGCTTCCATTCGATGGGCTACAAGGCGCAATTTTATTTCCTTCCATATTGACTTTCTCGTACGCAGTCATAGTTGTGCTCTACTTCTTTATTAGCAAGGGTTGGTTATTAACAGACTTCCTTGTGTAGCTTTTATTAAATTTTTGAAATTCTTCGATGACTAAGAAACGAAGTAAATATCATATATACATATACAGGCTAGTCGAATAAGAATTCTTTGATTTTCACCCTGGTCCTTAGATATATCTCATTGGGACGGGATGCTGGCAGGATGAGCTCGTGAATTGACGATGTCTAAATGAGACTGAAAAGATGTAATTTCAAGAGTGAACTTGCTGGAGTTTTTTTTTATCTTTTCTCTTGTAAATTTGTTTATGGATTACGGAAAATCAACGCATTTAATTTAAATGCCTCTTTGTATCGACCGATTAATTTAGCTGCTAAGCCGTTTTTCGAAGGAAACTTTTATCGGTATGACAGCCGATAAGAACATCCTTTCAAGGCTTAAACGAGTCTGTTACCTATCAAAGCGCTTCTTTGGATACACTGCGAGTACAGAATCGATAATTTGAGGAATATCCAAAGTTCCATCCACTTTCGGAAACGTTAAGATTTAATAAAGCTTTTAGGTTGTGTTCTCCTCCTTTCGTTCCTGCTTTGTTACAAATTGTCTTACAGGTCTTATCTTCCAAGGGAAAAGAAAAGCACGATTAATCCGATTAACCTTTCGGGTTTCCTGCCCGTGCTTAGTTATTACCAAAACCATATACGTGCGGAATGAAAAACCGCACGCGAATCTTGAATCGTTAAGGTATTTTGCTCCTGGCTCGACTTTTCCTTGCTAATCTCGCTATATATTTTTCTTCCCATGAATACTCAGCCTACTTAACCACGTAAGGTTCCCCGAGGCACGATATTGAAAGTTCCTTTCGTTTCCATCTTCTCCACTTTTCCATTCTTCTTCCCTAGTCTTTCTTTTTTTTCCATCAGAAAATCACTTTATGACATTCGCGCGGCAGGCAGTTGCGTTTTTCCCAGTTCGCTATGTAAATCATAATTCTCGCTGAAAATCGTGTCTTTTCCACCGAGTAATCGAATAAAGCATTCGTAAAGGACGCAGAGAAAGAAAAAAGTTTCTTCCTCGAAGTGCAAAGGAAAAATGTCTGAGACGGAACAGGGAATAACACGGGAAAATCTATATGCCGTCTCCGACGCCTTTTCCTTAGTTGCTATGAATCTGAAAACTGAAAAACAAGGTAAATTCTATAATCACCTGCATCGGTATTACGTTTAAGCGATGGCTCAGGGTTATATTTGTTAAGCGTAGGACGATATTTTCCAGAGGCAGATGAAGAAATGGGGTCGGCATCGGGCCGAACTTTGCAATTTCGCAATGGACTTGACGCCATGTTGGTAATATATGAGATTAAAGTAACCAACTCGACTCACGAGGCAAGTGATCCTAATGAATAAAAGATTTGAGGTGGGTCGTACGAAAACCCGTAGGATGCTACCCCACCCCTCCCAAATCTCAAGTGACCGGATTTACTGCTAATGAGGAATACTGTTTTCTACCCTCAAAGCTTCATGAACATCAGCATCGTCATCATCATTATCATAATTCTTCTTCATGTCGATCCTCTTCCGGGATAGGCGGATTACAATCTCAAAAAGAACAACATCGCAAGTCACGTGGTTAAACAGTAAGATAGATCATTTTTGTAGGCCTGATTGAGGATTGCTCTATAATTGCTATCAAATACTCGCATCCAAAATTGATATCTTTATAATTTCATATATCCTTTGTATTTCCCCGAAACAATATTCTCTAATTGTTATCTGTTCTGACAACGCGTCACGTAGAAATCTCTGTTTGGTTTGATTTGCTGAATTAATCCTGGACTCGTGGTCTCTTCTACCCTGCTTACATATAGGCACGTGCCTGTAACTATATAAATATATATATTTAACCCTCTGGCGGGCAAGCCGGGTAGTATACCACCCAGCGAAATGTTCGAAGGGATGCGATTTCTGAAGGATCGAAGGATCAGGTGGTCACGTGTCTGAAAATTAGAAAAATAAATTTGAAGTACGTTTAACCATCGTTATTTTGTTCAGGCGACGTTCTTTTCAAACGTCTCTTGGATTTTTACGAATTCTACACTTGGTACCAAGACCATTATCACGATTGAAAAGGATAATCTTGCAGCTTTCCATTTTAATAATTTCATTTTAAAAAATATCAATTTTATTCCAAATGGCAGTAGAAGCTTCGAAAGAGAAGACTGATGACGCACTTTCACTGTGCGAAACAAATATACTTTTTGCAAAGATCAGCAAAACATAATCTTTGAATAAAACAAAAATCCGATAAAAAACAATAAAACAACACTTTTTCGATTTTTCCGCATCCACGTACTTGATATCCATTTTACTTGATAACTTTGCCCACATTTATTCCATCGACTCGGGACTGATTCAGTTTGATTCTTCGCTCTCTGATGATTCGAATTGGGCTATTAAAATTTTTAAGAATATCAATTCCAAAAGATGTTATCCGTAAAAGAAGCCTGCGGCTAGTATATTACTCGGTTTCGCGACAGAAGGACGCCAGAAAATGTTGTCCGCCAGAGGGTTAGGTGTGTATGAGTGTTCCCGCACGTAGTCGAATATATCGATGTAATTGTGTATGAGCCCGAAACTGTCGGCCAGTTATTGCCCTCCTGGATCAAATAATCTGCAATGTACACGACGTGGCTTCCATCAGGTCGGCTGAGACTGCTTTCTGGCTCTACCTTTTTCGCGTGTAAACAAGATCTTCCGTAGTCGGTCTGTTTTTCTTCTTCCTTTTTTTTTCTCATTCACATTTCCATCATGTATACTGGCACACGTGTGCAAATGTCAATGTATCTACGTCAATTCTGTCCTCATCGCTCTTACTCTAATGGGGCAGATAAAAGAACCTGAAATTGTCATTACTTTTCTATCGATTTCATGAATATTTAGGTACGTGCAGATATAGAGCATATCCACGTGCTAATGCGTATAGGACTGTATCCGTCATATCTGACAGGTGTCATAACATGCTGATCTTAGTCCTTCAATGAAGTATCGTTTATTTAAGTTTATGGGTAGACGTGTAATGACAGTGTGTAATAGTGTACATGTAGATTTTTTCGGGATCTGTACGTAACGAGGGTGCAGGAGGTAAGCGAGGTTAGGAAATTCGCTATTTGTCAATTGCACAGTATCTCGAATTTGTGTCGGACGATATAATTGTCAATTGAATTGTGAAAAAGGTATGTCGCGGTATTAGCTGATTAGCGTTTTTCTCGAAGCTGCTAAGAAATCTAGTGGCTTGGTGAATACAAACGATCCTTTCTATCAGTTCATCTGCCTCTTATCGCTTGATAATAGGACGAGGGTGTAGAGTGGTTTCCCGATACTGTACGGTATATGAAAGTGTGACTGTAATGGAAGCATGTCCAGGATTCTGCATATTATGGATTTCTCCCTCATACGGCGCTTTTCACACGCAGCGTTACACGCATGGTTTCTGGTCCCGACTATACTTTCGCGTTAACGGGCTGAACAAAAGTCTGGCAAAGTAGACGGTCCCTAGTCAGATTTCCACATAATTTTGTATGCGGGTTACTTTTGGTATTTTTACACTGTACAAACAAAGTCTAACTCTTTAATGCTGGGCTGTTAGCTGATGCTATTTTTGTAACGTCTTCTTGTATAGATTGGTAGTTAGGTTGAGGCCGACATTAGTTCATTCTATTATAGTGCTTTAGTACTGAGTCCTGTGCGGCTGAGCTTACCTGTATACACATTATGTAATGATATTTCGAAATTTTTTTTCGTATAATTACGGAATTGTGCAATTTATCGTATTTGGCCGTTTTATGCTCTCTGGGAGTCTCAATGAATTTTTGTTGTTTTTGGAAATAATCATCTTCTCCCGGTCACATTTTCCATATACGTTCGGTGGATTTTGCCTACGGTTTCTTTGAAAGGGTCTGGTTGGTCGAAGGTTGTTGACTCACATGGTCGATCAATTCTTCTTTTTTTTTGTTTTTTTTTTTCTTTTCTTTATCACGAGCAAACTTTCTTCTTAAGATCTGCCAGTTTCGATTTTATTTTCTTTGACGACACCTTCAACTTTCTTGATCCGAGAATTTGATAATTAGAGCGGGAAGGTGTAAGCGGATCGAGGAAGTTGACAGTGCCGTCGGAGAAAATTAAATCCAGTGACAATTGCTCTATAGAATTTCCTTTCGATTTTCCTGTCTTTCGTATTTCCTAATTATTTCTTTGTGTTTTCGCTATATGAAATTTCAAATTTCCACATTACCTTCGTTTGACGACTGTAATGGAAAGGGCGGGCTAGGTGTATCAAAAAATCGTTCAATTCTCATGTTCAACTTTGTCTCATAGATTTTGATGCACTTCATTTATACGTGCCATATGTTACATCGTGCTAAATTATGAGTAACGATATACGCTTAACAACTTATTCCATTCTTCGTATGTTTGATTACTCATAGAACGCGTATTTGATCTGGGAAAAAGTTAAAAAAATGTACAAGCTTCCCGAAGGAATTGCAGGAATTGAAGGAATTGCAGTCCGTCTTGGCTAGAGATATTGCGCAGATGGCAAGAATCCTTAATGGGACGAATCTGGCAGATTTTAGGAACAAACTCGCGAGACCAATAATCATAAATTCTCCTTCGCCTCACAATTCTTGCTCTTTTCGTCCGTGTAATTCGACTATTTACGTTCACGGTCTCTTGAACAGCGGGGAAAAAAAATGAAAAGTCGTAACTATGAAAAATCAACCACTGAACTTGAGATGCTTAAATTATCATTTTAAAGATTTTCGCGTTTAATGAATTATACATATGTTCCCGCATAATATAAAAATTTAAATATGAAAATTATCTGCAGACTCAAACCCACCCCTCGCTTTGGGGGATGGGCAGTAAATGAAAATTTTCCTCTGAAATAAAAAAAAAACAAAATTTTACCAAAAGTTATCCAATTACATCTGATAATAACATTATCAGAATGTAAATGTCCGACGTAAATTGCTGTATACATTTAATCGAGTTAAAGGAAGCTCATGAAGATTTTCACGATAAACTTTATTACGCTCATTCTTCATGAATTACTTTAATTACTTTGGAACGTTTTGCCGTTTCTCGGCAATAAAAAAAGCTTTTCCTCTTTCTTTGGCTTGATCGTGAGGCAATTAGGTCCGCGATTAAACTGGAATACGAGAAAGTGCAAAGGGCGGGTGAGGGGAGGGGTGGTAATGCGTGACGAGCATCGTTGGATAACTGTCTCGCTATACTGAAGCCAATAGATTCTCTCGGAAAACGTTTCCGACTAAAAACAGTTTCAAAGAAATTAATGGCATTGATAGGAATCCTTAATCCATGATTGTGATTAAGGATCAGATGAATGGACCGTAAAAAGGGTGAGTGGTAGGACGTGAAAAGGGATGATGTAGAATTTAAGGAAGTAAAAAGTTGCGACTATGGGAAGGATGGCTGTCGTTTTTCCGAATTTTTTTTTTTTTTTTTTTCGAAAATTCGTATTTATGAATATCTCGAAATCTACAAAGGCACGGGAGGTTAACCATGGGGGAATGTGAATTTTTGGTAAAATGAAAATTCAAGAATGTAACTATTCGGAATCTCGACAGGTAAAATCTGCTTAAGGGGTAAAAGAAAAGATCTAACGGGGTTTCAGTATAATTTAATGATTTATCGATCTTCTTCGCGTACTTCTTTCTTCTGCACTTGGGAAGGAAAGTCTCGAGATAAGAAAATTTCTTCTCGATAACAATTGTCACGGCTTTGATTTCTACGAAAATCTAAATATTCGAGTAGCAATATAAAAGTAAATAGAGCTCTGGCAGAAAATTGTAACGTGATTAATGTTTCTATTGGGGATTAAAGTAGGATTAATTGTTTGTAAATGAATTAGTGAGAATAGTGAGAACCTGAGTGTATAGACAATAAAGCTGGGAAATAGAGAAGCGTCTGCGCAAGATATTTCGCCGGATCAAGCGGGTACGGCGTCGCGACGCTTCGCGTCAGTCCAAAAGCACCGCTTCGTACAAAAGCATCAAAGCATATACGTTAGACGGGAAATTTCAAAGGGAAGCTAGATTCTGTTGAGGAAACAATATTGAAAAAAAAAAAAGTTAAAGTAAATATTTGCTAAATGTTATTATCTCCCACTCAGGATCTCGTGGATTTTGTTGTTGAGCGTAATTCATGAAAATCGATCAAGAGCGATTTTATTAATCGGTACCGCGCTTTTGTCTTTATCGAAAGTTTTGAATTTTTGTAAAATTTTCAAATTCACCGACATCCCTTACGCCGTACAATCACGCCTTACAACGATCGTTGAATAGAATTATTAAAATTGCGCTTAAGTAAAATTCAATGTTTAAGTCGATTGAAATATTATATTCTGACATTTATGAGAGTTGAATTAATTAATTTTATCATAAAATTCCTTCTCTCTCAATATCTTGAAATGATTCTCACGACCCAATAAACATAACGATAATGTAATCGCGGAGCAAAATTATCGAGGCGCGACGGTGGTGTCAAATCGAAACATGAATTTCATGTTATCAGCCGGAAGTGGAAGTTGGACGTACCGCGAGAAGAAATTCGGCAAGCAACCAGGTAAGGTAAGAACTAGAGAAAGAAAGCAGCGATTCGCAAAACCTAGAGACTTCCGGGTAAGGATTCGCACATAAAGTACACAACAGTGTAATTATAATTGTAACTAAATCCAAAAATACCATACAGCCCGTATTTCATAATGTTTGTATATAAAAAGTACAAAAACGTAAATGGCGCCATCTGCTGCCGGTCATAAAAGTAAGAAATAGACGTGATAAAAAAAAAGCAAAATAATTCAAGAGACAAAGGCCATCCCTTATAACGATACCACTCCGGAAAGAGAAAAAAGAAAAAAGTCCAAAGAGATACGTTGCAGGAGAATTAAAAAAAAAAGTGTCAATTCGTTTAACGGGATACAAGAGCAATTTTCATAGGGAATATCAAATGGAGCACGAATAAAAAAGCCCATTCCAATTTCCAATCGGCAGCTTCAAGTTAAATCGAAATCTACCCGTCATATAATTCTTCGATTTATTGCTCGGCCAAACCTCCAAACTTTCGCATCCCACTTGAGCGCAACTTTAATTTCTGGACCTTTCGGGCCTGACTCCACAGACCCTTGCGCATTTAATTCTTGGAGCCCGAGGGTCACGTCAGTCTTTCTTCCTCTCCTTTAATTCTTTGCTCTTGAACTTATACACAAGCGGCCAACTTCACGTGCAGGACGCTTCCCAATGAGGAGGGTCGCGTCCAACGAGATTCCGCACAACCGTCACGTTCACAGGAATTATTGCGTACAGTGTTCACGGGTAAGAAACGAACGGCATTCTTCTGTATTTAAAGGCGAAGAATACGTGTCGGATGAAGAAGCCCGAGTGTAGGAGTGAGGAGCAGCCCCCCCCCCCCTCGGGCGGCTATATAGAGCTCCTACAGGACTCCACGGGAGAGAGTAGTGCGGCGCCCTGGAAGATCCGGGTTCGAGTCCCGATCTAATTTTCATATGATTTACGGATCATATACTACAGGGTTATTCGATAGAAACACACATTCGGTAGAATAACTCTGTATAACGCATTCGAATGAAATTTGTTCCATTAGCAATGGAACAAACGTAGGAAAAAATATCGTCAGGACAATTTTTGACTTGGGAAGACGGATGGGCACATTTTGTCATTCATATAAAAAGGGAAATATCCAACACATTAAATTGCTACATCGATCACCGTTTTCTTTTATACGAATATAGGAATCTATACGAAATTTATATAGACGTGTATACATATATCTATATATATATATTCGTATAAGGCAACTGGCACGTGGAAACAGTCAGCATCTCTATGAATCCCTGGATACATACAGACCCAATACACATAACCAATATATCCGGAAATCACGTGATTAGGGAAATTAGCGGCGCTTGATTTAATATTGATGGCGACGCAGGCACGATTTTCCGTGAGTTCTCGTTTCAGCTTCACATATGCGAGTGTATATTGCTTTTATACGAGCATATAAAAATCAGGAATGTGTTTAAGGTTACGGTTATGATTTTTTGCAAAGATTCCATCTCTTTGTTCGCTTAGCGGATATTTATTTAAACACTGGACACCTAATACCTGCTGGTACTAAGATCATATATTGATACCATAGTGGTATTACATAATATACAAGCTTAGCGCTGCCATATATCAACAGCCGTACATCAACAGGTGCACTTTGAGATTCTAATGCGCCTAGAGGCCTCGACATATGCATTTTGTCTGCAGTTATATATTTATCGTGTATACGGCAAAAGACAATTCGGAACGAATGAAAATACTTTTTATTTTTATCAGATGTTGCTATATTTTGAAAATAATTCTTTCAATTATCCGAATTCAATAATGCAGTTACTATGCTTTGTGTAGTGGACACTGTACGCTGTATTTTTTATATAGATTCTGTGAAATTTTTTTCCTATATAATCCAGTTTAATTGACGTCGTCGAATGAGCTATTGTCGTCACCGTTTTTCGGCTTGAAAATTTTCCGCAAATTGCACTTCAGTCAGATGCAAATGGGAACGACAAGTGCATCCGCGCTCGATGCACATTTTCAGAATTTAATTGAACCCAGTGACGTCTCCCGGCGCTCAACGATAATCATAGAACGACAAGGATTGATAATCAGTTATCCGATATATACATATATATACAGAATGAAATTGAAATAACTTAGTTTTACGTAATTTTCATTTTTTTTATTTTCAAAACTTTTCTTCTCTAAAATCACGTCGATTTAAATAGGTACCAACTTTCTTTGAGGATCTGAAAATACGAATAAGTTGCATTCTATTGTTGGGCAAATATTTGAAGATGGCTCATCGTGTTAGGGCTAATTCATATGGGTAATAGAGACAAAGGGTATGTACTTTGGTAGATAGTGGAGGGGGGGGAGGGGGGCTGGTGGGGAGGTGCAGGTATCCCATCTAACTGGGTCATGGAAATTCATATTACGCATGAATGCATGTAGAAACGTAAATACATATGTGGATAGTAGCGAGGATTCGCTGCTGTTGTGCCTTTGTGAAAAATTTTTAAATAAAAACGAGCAAGTGTGTCTCTTGAATCTGTGGAGGAGATGAATTAATAGTCGTATAAGATTCGTGAAATTTATATTACGTAAAATCGCGAATATCTTGAATACTTCGTTACGAAGTAACGAAAATTAAATAAAAAACAAGTTGCGCGCGAGTACAGCTGTAAAGAAATTGAAATTCCGTGATATCTCAATGTCGTTAAATTGTTTTAATTTTTCCACGTTAACGGGGCAAATGAGAAACGATTTATTTTTTCTTAGTGAATTCTGGAAAAGTTTTTGGGCTCTCATACGACATGAAAAAAGTAATAACTTTGAAATATGCCGAGAATAAATATCACGGGTCCCAGTAAGTATCAATGTGCAATTTAAAATATTTAAATAAATGCCGAAGGTAGCACCTGACAAATTCATGAGTATACTCATTTATTCAGCCCAAAGGCACCGTCTGAAATTGGTTGGGTTTATCGTAGGAATAAAATTCAAAGTTTAACTACGGTCGGTACGTTTCACGTAGAGCAATAGCAGTGAATTTTTAAATACCGTCCCGCTCGCCGTGACGCTCGCTTGATTAAGGCATTTTTCGAGAACATTCAAGGAGGCAGGAATATACTATAAGCAGTAGAGGAAAACAAAGTTGTCGCTATTTTGAAGATTTAATAGCTGCGGTATAATAAGTGCCGTAGAAAAATGACCGTGAGGCCGATAATGTAGGCCGCAGCCAGACGCCGACGTCCCATTCGACGGGCAATGAAATTTCTTTTCATGTAAACAAGACCAATCAAATATTTACCGGACGATAATCTTCGGCGAGAATCATGATCCGCTGGGTATTATTATATAACCGTGTGTGTGTGTTTTCCCTGCATTTCCGTGTTTGCTGATTCTACAGAACTTCATAACAATCGATTCTTTATTTCTCTTATTTTTAATAGCACAGCTACGCGTTAGCCTCTTTCTCTTTCTCTGGTCTTGCCTGCGTGTATTTCCTCTTTCATGAGAATCGCGTCCACAATGAGGAGGAAGCACAAGAGGAGGAGTGAAAGCAAAGGGACGGTAACTGCCTGCGCGACAGACTGACAGACGTTTCGGACTATTTATTTACTTTGGTCGTAACTATTAAGCTGGCGGGAAGTTTTTTTTTGGCAGCTGCTTCGTGCGTATTTTAATGTTTCTTTTTTTCTACGTCGCCGCAATGCGCGTACGTCAGCATGTTCGCCCCGCATACTCATGTTAACAGCAGTAACGTTGGTATGTCGCAGTTTCGAAGAATATAGATCAAATTATTATTTTGCGATTTTTTACGAAAAAAAGTCGGTACCGCGCAAAGGGAATGAAATATGAAAAAAAAATTTTGTTAAGTCTATGTGGCGTGGGGATCGAATAAGATTAAAGGGAGGGAAACATTTTTTTTCTGAAAAAAATCGAGAAAAAGCGAGTGTACATAATAATCTTTAATATTCAAATATTATCTTTCGAGGGACGTTAACCAACGTAAACCATCGCTCATGAGCTCCTTCATTCCGACCCAGTTACAAAATTCATCCCCCTTATTTACAAACACAATTCCATGCCGGAAGTCTTCAGAATCCCTATTAACTTCCATAATTATTATGACGCGTTTAACGAAGCTTGGATGACGTAAATATAAATAATTCCGATAAGAGCGCTAAACATTTTGTTAATTCTCATGCTTCAGTCTTGCAATATCTCACACTCGATTTAAAATAACAGAACGATCCTACTGGTCAGGGATGATAATGAAATGGATTTATGGATTTATGGATTTATGGATTTATGGATTTATGTGCAAATTTAAATTTGTGATATTCAATTATATTATTACTTGCTAGGAGAGCTTTGAGTTTTTACAATGCAAATGGCAACTGGGCGAATGTGCGGTTTTCGTGTTCCGATTAAAAAAGGACCAATGTGTATTTAGAGTAGGATACGTCACTGCTCCATTTCTGCATAAGTCACTTGTGCTTTGAGATATGTGCTAAAGTAGACAATTTTAGAGTAATTTAGCCAGTTTCGGAGGAAAACTAGTGCGGGGCTTAGCACGGTTCGATTAGTCGAGTTTTTAATAAACTAACTTACATCTGTTAGCACGGCGGCTTTTTGTCGTGTCAATTTGTTGCTAAAGGATAATCGGGCAACCGGTGGGTGTAGGTGCGAGTGGGTGGCAGTAGTATCCATCCTTCGGGTATCCGGCGAGTGAAGGACTTTTGGAATTTTTCAATAGCACGTATAACCTAGAATGCTAGAATTTCGATGCATGGGAATTCTACTCGTAGTCTACTGGAGTGTGAAGTTTGCCGCGAGATTCGTATAGAAATAGTGAAACGCTCCGACAGCATGCGCAAGCGCATGCGTTCTTGTCTTTCTTATACGACTCTTGTAGGAATCAGGATAGGCGAACTGAAAGGATTTCCTCGGAGGCTGCGGCTAAAGGAAGCTATCATCAGAGGGGGAAAGAAAAAATTGGATTATCCGATTTACCAAGTGTCCTTGTAAATTGATGAAAGTTCGAGAAA